GTGGAGTGTGGGCCCCCGAAACTGACCTCGGTTCACTGTTGGCACGAGGTGTCGGCTGCGTGTCTGGCGGGTGTCGGTCGGTACCTGGGCCGTCAGTCAGACTCCAGTCAGTCAGTTTGCTCCAGTACCGGCGGGCTACCTGGACAGTCTGTGGCGCAGTTGCTATTCGGGAGCCGTCTGCGCCGTTCTGGAACGATCTATCTATAGCCGGGCATGGTTTATGTTAGCCAGATCGGTGGCGCCTCGCTTAGGCGCAGCTAACAACGAGAATAAGATCTTGAAATTCCATGCTATGAGCTTCTTTTACAATCAGTTACCTTTTCCTTCTGGCGGTAGAATGGGTCCCGTTTAAAAATAACCGGGTTACATAACAAATCACGGACGGGATGGGACAAGCCACCAATAGGCCGAGAATATCGTCATAAACAGTGTTCTGTCAAAGACGATGAGTCTCCTCTTCAGCTGAGTTGACTACCCGTCAAATCGGCACTAAACAAACACATTTGTTGTGCCATCGGATCTTGGAGTAGGCCTGGATGACTGGGCAGAAGCATCGTTCCGTATTTGACGTCCCCGGCTTCAGGCGGTCCTAGCTGGAAAGCCTCTTGGCGAATGGCGATTTGACGCCGGCAAGAGGCTGAGAGGCTCGCCTCGTAGCACTTAGCACCGGTTTGCTTTGTTGTGTCGGTCTCCTCTTGAGAATTCGAGTCGCACTTTTTAGACTCACGATGACCAGACCAGTGACTTGAGTCTGCCCTCATGACTCATCTCACACAGTCGTCCCCTGGGTAGCTTCTTGTCTCTTGAAAGAGCGAGGGAGAGTGAGAGGACGATAGAGGATGGGGGCAGTAGCGGCGGAACACCTTCAATTAAGGGGGGGGGGGGCACTGCCGACTTGTGGTCCCATTCTTTCCATGCAACGCCCATAGGGCTAATGTTAAAATGCCAAAATCAAAGGGGGGCACGGTGCCCCGGTGCCCTCCCCGTTCCGCCGCCTATGGATGGGGGAGGGACCTGAGACGCTGTCACGCCGAATCTGTGACGGCGATCGACAGGACTCCCTCCGTTGGCGGTTAAAATTAGCTCTGGCGACGCCACGGCACCACCGGGCCCGGCGACGGCGTTTGTGCAATCAATTCTTGGCCCCCGGCGACTGCGGGACGCCGCCCGGGGCAGCTGAGTCGCAACAGTTGGCATACGAGTCGGGATTGGTCATGGCTTATGACCGGAGAAATATTGATCGGGAAGCCTGTTGATAAACGATAATGTTGTTTGTGTGTCTACCGGTGGCGAAAACGTAAATATCTGTTCGTGTGATGTGGTCGAGCTGTCGGGAAGGTGCATTTATTTGGTCACAAGGTTGAGCCAAAATAGCAGGCTCTACTCCAATGTCGCATTTGTTGTCCCATGACGTAGCCTTTTCTAGTGGGAGGTGCGTGGATTAGAAATGTCACGGAGCGACTGTTCTTTTCAATTGATAATTGGCTCTGCGGTCGTTGCCTTTGGTTGTCTCGATTACAGCGGCATTTACGTCTTGCTTCGTTTGAACTGATCGACTAAACGTTCGCATTTCATTTCAGTTTGTTTGTGTTAAGATTTGTTTGTTTGGATGCCCGTCAGCGGTTGCGCTGTAGTGTTGCTCCGACCGTTCGGTCTCACCGATGACTGCCTTCGAGGGCGGCGTCAGTAATGCGCTGTTCGGTGTCCACAGATGGCGCGTAGCCTGCGCGCGGACGGCGGCCATGGAGCTGGACGCCGGCGCCGCGCCTGAGCGGCCCGCCTCGCCAGAGTCCGGCCGGCTGCACCTGCTCCAGTCGGCCTGCATCTCGCTCGCCGCCAGCCAGGCCGGCCTGCCGACGGAAGCCGGCGGCGCCAGTCCCATGGAGCGCCGCGAGCGCCTCTCGCCGGCGGCCGGCGCGCCCGACGGCCCGCTCCCCGGCGCCGCACCGCAGAACGACTCGGCCGACGCCGACATCTTCTTCGAGTACGACACGGAGAGCGGCGCGGCCGGCTCGGCGAGCGGCGGCGCGGCCGGCGGCGCCGACACCGGCTGCGCGCTGACCTCGCCGGCCGGCGGCAGCCGCGACCTGTCTCCCGTCCTGCTGCACTTCCCGGAGAACTCGGCTACAACCACTGCCGCTGCACCTACCACCAACAACAACACCAACAACGCGGGCTCCCCCGTAGTCTCCTCCGCGTTACATCCACTCCCCGTAGACGCCGCCGCAGCCGCCGCAGCCACCGCCGCCGCAGCGGCAGCAGCCACCAGCGCAGCAGCCCTCGCCGCAGCAGCGGCGCCCATCGCCGACGAGGTCGCTGTCGATGCCGCAGCAGTCGCCGGCGCCATCGCCGCCGACGGTGGTGTCGCCGTAGAGGATGTCGTTGCCGGAGCGGTGGCTGCCGATCCTGCCGACGCCCTGGCCGGTGCAGCCGCCGCCGCCGCGGAGCTGAGCGCCGATTGTTGCTTGGGCCGCTCAGATGCGGTGCCTGTACCGGACGGCGCCCGCTGCTGCACCTGTGAGTGTACTCAGGACGCGTGCCGACAGGCCGACCGGTCAGCGTGCAAGAAAGAATGCGAGCCAGGGCCGAGCCGCGACCAAGACGGCAACCGGTACCGCGAGCGTTGCTGCTGTTGCTGCGAGGCTGCCCGGAACGCCGAACGGCAGGCGGGAGGACCTGCGGATGCACCAGCGGGCGCACAAGCCGATGCACAAGCGGACCCGGCGGACGGGCAGGCGGGCGCACAAGCGGCCGGCCAGGCAGACCTACCGTCGGGCCGCTCTAACGCGGTGCCCGTGCCCGGCGGCGCGCGGTGCCGATGCGTGTGCGCACAGAGCGCCGACCGGCCCGCACCGCCCCAGAACTGTCTCCGCCGTATGGTGGGCGGCAGCCTGGGTAACCGGCCGCAGCAGAGTCCCAGTGAAAAGGTGGACGCCTGGCTGCGGGCCTGCCAGCAGGAGGACAGCGGCGCCAGCACGGAGGAGGAGGAGGCCGAGCAGACGCAGGGCGCGGCGGCGGCGGCGGCGGCCGAGTCGGACGAGCCGCAGTTTCAGCTGGAAGAGGACCGCGCCAGTGAGCTGGAGGACAGCTCGGCCACCGAGGAGATGGTCGACGCGCTCGGAGTGGATGACGTACACGACCTCCGCGAGCTGATGGCGCGGGGAATGCAGCTGCTCGACCTGGAGCCCGACCCGGAGACTCCGAGGGCCGGAGACGCCGAGGACGAGGGGCTGCCGGAGCAGGAGGAACTCGAGGGCGCCGTCGGAGGAGCGACCGGCTTCGACGGCCCGCAGGAGTACAGCTGCATGAGGGGAGCGTTCGAGCCGGAGAGGGATTATCACCGGCCACGGGAGAGGGACTGCCACGGATCCCCAGAGCGTGACTACCACCGGCCGCCGGATCACCACTACCGGCCGGTCCGCCCCGTACCGGTGGAGCGGCCCCCGCTCGGCGCCGAGGGCGGAGCTGTCGGCGGCGCTGCCGATTCGGCCGACGCCGACGCGGATGACGAGGCGGCCTCGACGAGCGGCGCCTCCTCGTCGTTCGCGCCGCCGGACCAGCTGAAACGCAGCACCTCGCTCAAATCTGGCAAGACGCCACCGCAGACGCCCGGCAGAAAGAAGTTCGTCCGGTTCGCCGACGCGATGGGTCTGGACCTCCAGCGGGTGCACACATTTAGAGATGAGATCCCCACGGTGCCCGCGGCGGCGTTCCGGGGACTGGAGCTGGACATGACCGCCCGGCCGCCGTCGCCCACGCCGCCGCCGCCAGCCACCTTTCAGATGTCGTTCGGCTCGGCGGCGCTGTCGTCGGGCGCGGGCGGCGCGCCGTTGCGACAGCTGGTGCCCATGTTCCTACAGCCCGGAGGCAGCCTGGGCTTCCTGGACCGTCTGCGCCGAGAACGGATCGTACTCGAAAACGTCTGCTGCAACAACGACGAGTACACGGTCAACGGTGTGGTTCGCGTGCTCAATATGGACTTTCACAAGACGGTGTACGTGCGCTACACGCTGGACGAGTGGCGGACGGCGCCCGAGTTGCGCGCCGAGTACGTGCCCGGCTCGTGCGACGGCCTCTCGGACCGGTTCCGGTTCACTCTGCACGCCGGCGCCCTCTCGCCCGGCGAGCGGCTGCAGTTTGTGCTGCGGTTCGAGTGTCAGGGTCAACAGTTTTGGGATAACAATTTCGGCGAGAACTATCTGGTGCAAATGATCCGCTCCGCCTCGGCCTCGATTGTGGACGAGCCCGGGGAGTGGAGTGGCGGCAGGCTGTGAGGCAGCGCCGCCCACTGCTGCCATCTCTGGGCGGCGGCGAGAAGCTGTGGTTGTCGAGGGGCCGCTACGCGGTGGTCCGGTGACAAGTGTGCCAGTATTTGTCGGGCTTATGCCGAGCTCCTCTCGGCGCGCGTGAGTGGTGCGGAGGCCTTAGGCCCGTCGGAGCCACGCGGGACGTGTCGCGGTCGGCTCGTGCTGTCGGGGACGGCCGCAGACCGGCCGGAGGAGAGTTGTTTTTAATATTTACCGGCGTTGTGCGCCGGCGGCTGCCGCCCACTGCCCTAGGCAGGCCGCCTCGGCCGGCGGCGGGGCGCACAGCCTACTCACTCGCCTGTGTACCGTCGCTATTAGTTTTGGGGATGTGCTTCGCAAAATAAACGCAAACCTTGTGATAGACTCGGGAAGTGATACACAAGCCCGACCCCAGCGCTCGTGGTAGCGATGTTCGGAAGTGCAGTATTTTAGTAGCGTAATGAAGAAGCAATACAGTCCTAGTCTCAGCAATGTGGCATACCACAAAATATACGAAGTTCTCTGCAAGTTTCACATACTCGTACCTCGATTGCCACCGCAATTTTAGATTCTTAAAATCCTGGTAGGACGTGAAGAAGTACGCGGCATTCGTGATCAGCAGCCATCTGGTAATTGACCATGGCGCTTCAGCTTCGTTGTGCTCATTAGAGGGCGCCTAGGTTCCTTGTGAATCTGCTTCATAAACATCCAGTGAACAACTGAGTACAATTGTATTACAATTTTCATGCAAACGCATTGCCCCAGACGACAGGATTTACAATGAGAATATCCCCGTGAGGGTGGTCACCGCTTGTCAATGACTAGAAACCAACCGTTGTCTGTTGTTAAGCTCGGTACGAACAAAAACAAGCTCATCGTCAAATCCTCTGCGCTCCGTGGCTCCATACTTTTGTCCTCGCTCCTCCCCTCAAAACTCAGAACCGGCGAGACCCTCCCTGTCCAATTGCAACCCCCGTGGCGCCTCCACACAGCACTGGCAGCTGTCTTCTACACCCCGCCTCAAAACTGAGACGGCAAATCAGGCGCTGGACGGAATTTGAATCACACACATCTCACCCTTACATATCAACCCCGCCTCATAACTAAGACCATACGTCTGGCGTTGGACGGAATTTGAATCACACGTACTATCATCCTTACATAATACAGACACCGGCGCAACAAACCAACCACTTCACGCCTGACGTGCCAACTATGTGTCTCTCAGTCTCTGCCTCTGTCTCTTTGTCTTTTTGGCCGCTGGGGGCCGCTAGTAATCGCTCCACGTCGCTCACCACTCTGCTCACGGTCCTCTGACTGACCGGACGGAGGTGTTGGACGTCCGTGATCTGACGTGACGTTGCAGCGTCACGGTGTGACGTAACGCCACGTCTCTGCGCCGAGGAGCTCGGTGTGCCGTCAGGAGGCCGGACATTGAAGAGCCGAAGACCTGACGCTCGACGCTACTTCAGGTACCTGTCAAGGACAACAGTGGTTAGCGGTGGTCAGTTCGGCTGAGTCAGAGTCAGCGACAGAGTCAGAAGGTCAGTGTCGGCACAGCAGCGCTCAGCAGTCAGCAGGGCGGGGCGGCCAGCAGCCAGCACGGTCTGGTCACTCATCGTCGTTTAGCCACCGTCAACAATCGAGCAGCGACTATCAACAGTCAACAGTTGCACAAACAGGCGGTCAGCCGGGCTGAGAGGCGCAAACACAGGATGCACTGTTGACACTGGAAGTTGGCTTGGCAGGATGACCGGCAAGAACAAGGGCATCGCATGACACTCACTGGCCACGCTCGTGACCTGATGAAACCACAACAGACGACCGTCCGCGACCGCGAGACAACACTAACAGCTTCAGCTGTTCTGTCATGCAGGAATCTAGTCACGACAAGCATACAGGTTGTGGTCAGAGGTTCCCAAACTGAGCGACTTACTTTGCGGCCCAGTTGGTTCGGCCGTGCAGAGCCGCCTTGGAGTTGGAGCCGCCCTGGCCAACCTGGGACCTGTACATGTTATACCTTGCGGCGGAACAGAAGCGGGCCGTGTCAGCGTGGGTGTCACACGGGTGTCACTCGGGTGTCACACGGGTGTCGCACGGGTGTCACTCACGGCACACGGGTGTCACGGGGCGCCGAACGCAGCCCTGGGGCGTCACAAGGTGTCGGCAACAAGTGTTACAAGTGTCATCACAATATCTCACGCACGCATCAGGCACTGCATACGGACAACACGGGCGCTAAAATCGCCGAAACCCAGCCGCCACACGGCATCAAAAAATCATCTTACACCGATTTTCTGGTGTACCATGCGAATCAAAGTGACAGATATCCAGTCTCATCCAATTGCAACGTCAAAACATCAAACCTCATGCAAAATACAACCAGTGAGTTGCGTTGGAAATACTGTGACGATTAACCTCAACATCTCAAACGCATGCCTCTTGAACTCCTGTGTTGAACAATACAATCCAGCTGATAAACATCGCAATAACGAGTGATTATCCACCAAATGCAAGGGTCGGGCCGGGGCGAGAAGGGAAGAGACAACGGCATGGACAAGCTGATGGATCGGGTCGGGTCGTGGGTAAGCTCAAGGGTCGGCGAACTCACTTGGCCGCCCAGTCGGTCCTCCCGTGCAGGCTGCCCGTCGATCCGGCGGCCACGCTGGCCCGAGTTCCCGACGCCCTCATCGACACCTGACTGTTGTAGTAGGAGCCGCGGCCGGTGAGAGCGATACCCGACTCCGTACCGGCCACACTGCCTGCAGAGGAGTCAGGGACGGAGTCAGAGTCAGGGATAGAGTCAGGGCGATACCCGACTCCGTGCCGGCCACACTGCCTGCAGAGGAGAGATTCAGGGAGATTAGAGTTAGGGCGAAACCCGACTCGGTGCCGGCGACACTCCCTTTGGGGGGACAGTCAGGGACAGAGAGTCGCAAGTTAGTCAGGCAATGCATCTGAGTCGATTTCAGGGTGGTAGCACAAATGGTGTCGCCAACCCCACTGTCTGCGGTCAGTTCAAAACACGGTCAATGTCACTAATTCGAAGTCGGCAACAGCAGCTAGACGATACACCACACAACACCGAGACCTAACGATCGCACCACCTGTCGGATGGGTCACTCATCACCAGTCACCAGCCAACACGACAGAGGTCGCCAATGACGAAATTCGTCGAGAACGCAGCGGCATGGCCGCTAGATACACAACACGACGATAATCACCGTAGGATAAAACTTCGACAAAGAAGTGGCACCCTCCCCACCTCACTTACCGTACTGCGCGTTTCGTGTGTTCTGTCCGGCCACGTAGCGCGACTTGTTGAGGTAGACCTGTTTGGCGGTAACGGTGCGGGAGCTGGAGCGGGCAGCCATCTCGCCGCCGCCCACAGCTGACGGCGCCGCCGCCACCGTCCGGCTCAGAGCCGGGTTCATACGCACCGCGCTCAGCCTGGGGAGAGCGGGGAGGTGTTATCGGCTGGACAGACATATAAATCAAATTAATACTTTCGCACAGCGAAAACTACCCTCTGATAAGACTACTTTAGTCCTCCGATCTAGCCCTATAGAAGATGACTTTTCTGTAGCCCTATTCGGTCCATTGAAGTCATGACTTTCTAGCTACCCAAAAATATGGACTAGATTTTTAACGCTCATCTAATATAGCCTCAGTTATCGAGCGCTGAAGAAACTACACATCATCCCTCCCAACCAGAAATTTTCCCAGTACCAATTATGGAAGTCACAGTCACATCTTTCGCTCTTTTCCAGACGCAAACTACACCCTCCCTCATCCAGCTTCCCTGCCCACTACCAAACCCCTCCCTCATCTCCTTCTACTCTTAACTCACTCTTCCTTCGGCTCGTCGTCCATCTTGGAAAAGCGCCGCGCAGAGACGGCGTCTGTGACGGCGAACGAACCGCGGCTGACCTTGGAGGAGACGGCGGGCAGGGTGGCGCCGCTGCCGCCGCCCAGCTTCTGGCCCACCTGGAAATACGGGTACCTGTCCGGACGGGACAGGGCATAGGTCATATAAGGTTGGAATAAACCGGGAGAGGACAACAACAGCTTCTGACCCACCTGGAAATACGGGTACCTGCCACAATGGGACAGTCTGGAGTTAGGCCAGAGAAGTTAGGTCAGAGAAGGGTCAGATAAACCAGAAGAGACAACAAACTCGTCTGCTTTCTTCGTCCATCCATCCCCAATCCTCCTATTATCTCTCTCCCAACGACCAAAGCAGCCTTGCCCAACCCTCATCCTCCCTCTGTCTACCCCTGTGACTGCAAACGAGCCACGGCTAAGTGCGCCCCTCCCGCCCACCTGAGCGCCTGCTGGGCGGTGGGCCGTTTGCCCGGGTTCCACCGCAGCATGTCGACGATGAGGGTGATGGCCTCAGCACTGGCGGTCGGGATCAGCTTCTCCAGCGAGGCCGGGCTGAACGGTGGGAACGTGAAGTTCATGGTGGACGCCAGCTGGTACCCCTCCGGCCAGTCGCGCTGTGGAAGGAGGGGGGGGGGGGGGCGTTATATTACATCATAGCGAGGTATGTGACGTTATGTCACGGAATGCCTGGGGGCCGGTACAGTACGCCGTACGGTAACAGACGGTTCAATATAGCACGGTACGGTGTGACACAAGCTTTTCGCCGTAGCTGGGCAAAAGTATCGATCAAATCAGCACCGTCTTCAGGTGGTGACTTCACAGCGCTCTAGGTAATCGGCAGTTGGGTGCAAACGTAACACGCCGCCGTCATGGGTTTTATGTGTTGTGTTACGGTATTCGCAGCCAGAAACGGGGCGGTTCCACAAAGTCAACTGCAGACGTCAACAATCCAGCACAAACACAGCCATGTTATGTGAGTTTATAACACCCGTTGAGTGCAGGTAAAGAGGTCAACAGAAGGGCGGCATCGAGCGACAAAAGTCGGGTCAAACGGTGTCACCAGGACAGCGACAACTCACTGGGGAGGCTCGCCACGGGCAAACAGCGTAATGGGCGACAAAGTCGTCCTAGTGTGTAGAAATGACGCAAATGAATGAATAATTACGAGTGTATGCAAACGAATGCTAGTCGCCGGTGGACATTCTTATAATAAATGGATCTTCAAAAGAACAATCAAGTACGCCAACCTGTTCGTGAAGCTATGATAGATCTAGATTTTTTAAAAGAACTTTATTCCATGTCTTGCGTCAAAAATGTAGGCAAATAAATGCTACTGCCAAATGTATTCATGGGACTGAACTTTCGCCTCACGACCCCATGTCTGTCATACCTTGTCTGGTGTGCCCAGGACGGAGCAGATTTTGAAGATTTCGTCGATCTCCGAGCTGCCGGGGAACAGCGGCCGGTAGGTGTAGAGCTCGGCCATGATGCAGCCGACCGCCCAGATGTCGATGGGGCTGCTGTAGCTGGTCGAACGGAGCAGCACCTCCGGCGCGCGGTACCTGACGGAAGGTACGGGGGGGGGGGGTACGTGAGGAGTACAGTACCCGCGGCGCCCAGTAGCTGGAGTGTGGGTGGTAGGCTAGGAGTATCGTAGCTGGTGGAGCGGAGCAGTACCTCCGGAGCGTGGTATCTGGAGGAGTACAGGGGGAGTAGGTGAGGAGTAATATAGCTGGTAGAGCGTCTGGAGGGACACAGCATGCAATGTAGAGGACGTAGGAGCTCAGAGGGAGCATGTGTAGAAAAGACTCGGTAAACCAGGAGCCATTCAATACACCACACTGGCAATTCAGGCGATTAATACTAAACATTACATTCGTATCAGTCCGAGGCAAAATGCAGTAGCCCGGGAGTTACCAACGCAAAGTCATAAATTGTTCCAAATGAATAGGCACAAATGATTGATTGCCAGAAATTGAAGCACTTGAAGTAATAACCGATATTCATTTCAAACGTAGCACTTAATCTACTTCATATGAAGCGGTGAAACTTCTTTAATTGTTACGACGAACGCGATGCTGTCATAATATTTACCATGGGGAGACACTAACCCATTTCCAAATTAACGTAAATGAATGATGCTTTGCTGAATGCGATGCATGGGCCCACTGTCGGCTTTGCTCCAGGTCGTTACAGCGTGATGTACCGCCACCCCTGTGACCATATTCAGTAGATCGGGGCCGGGGCGACGGTGACAAGGCCTTTCCCGTGTATTCTGGCGCTGAAACGGGGCTTAGCGGACACGCACTCACGACACGACCCCAATCCAGAGTCGTGACCCCAATCACGAGATGGCCCACATCCCCAGCGGAACGTGTGAATACATTTACCACAGGAACTACACGTATGTACGACCAGAATGTTCTCGGTTCTGTGCGTGGAAGCCAGTGTGTGCTTTGGTTGAAATAATTTAGGTGAGAAGCAAGCGAAGTCAGCTTGTTCGATTAATTTTTCAGTACTATTTCAAAGCGGAATGTCTCGACTACGCACAAGTTGAAAACGGTCGAAAATGGAAAGAAACTTTCACACGTGTTCTTTCACAAACGAGTAGTCGCCTGCAAAACACTTCCATTACAGGGCTCAAACTTCTTCGAGAGTCAAAGCTTTGAAGAAGAACAAACTCACTGGGCCATCCGACCATGAGAGCACAATTCGAGGTGATATGGTGTTTCGTGCTCGCCATATGTTCCAGACACCCATGTTCTTTGTAAGTGGTGCTTGGTAATGTGTAACTCACTGATAAGTGGTAAGGGTAATGTGGGAAAGGGACTTTACGAAGGAACAGGCCGCCTTAAGAACTATGTAGTATCTTGTACCATGCTCTTCTTTAGAACAGCCAATAATGAATAAAATAACAAAAAAAAATGAATTAGATTATTAATTGAAGCCAATCTCCTTGCCGGCCTATTAGCCACTGAACCATCATTACCATGAAACTACCGTACAACCGGCCCATCACTACAATTTAATGCCGCTGCCTAACGACTTTGTCGCAGCTCAGCCTGGAGCGGTTGTTAGCCGGACAAACCACCCAAGTATCCAACCATCAATATATCCCCCTAACTCAGTGTACGGCGGAATATTCCTTACCCGAGCTACATGCTACTGCCCCAGGGTGCCAAGACGATAACCACAACATGAATTACCACCACCATACCTCAATGCTGACGACGTTCGTGTTTTATTCAAAGGCACCTAATCAACTAAGCCGACACCGCCACACCTAACCAGCTGCTTTTACCCTCCCATATAGGGCCTTGCCCTTCCTGTAGACCCCAGGGGGCCAGGTCAGCGGGTCATGCGGCTGGCACACTGCCCTTGAACCGGCGGCTATCACGTGACTCCCCCGGCCCACAGGACACGTCAGCTTCGCTAATCAATGGTCCGATCGGCGACACCCATTGATTAGTGCAGTCATAGAAGACAACCAGCACGCCAAGCATGGACATTGGACAGTCGAAATGGACGAGACCGTTTAGAAGTTAGCATGAGCAGCCTGGACTTAAGGATCAAGCGGTGTTCATGCGCCCATCCTACCCCGCCCGACACGCTCCTCGACAATGCGTAGTGAACAGGCTGACAGGTTGTCATGGTAACCAGACAATAGCTTCATAAACGCAGAGTGCTTGCTAGGCCTGATCTGTTCTTTTAATGTGGTTAGACTCTCATTTCGTATGTTCTCCGATGTATCAGATAACATCAGTTGGTTTGCCTGTGTGTTCAGAGTTGGTAACAGGGCCCACTCGATACGGCTAGGCATGGTTCGGGGAGTTACACTATTTGGACTTAGTCGAGCACCTCACTGCGTACTGTGTAGTAGTTTGTGTAATAAGAGCTACAACTATTCCGATGGAAACTCGCCAGCACAAAAGGCTACAACTATTCCGATGGGAAATATTGATGGGTACTGACAAGTGCGAAAGAGTACGACGATTGTCGTGGGAGAAGCCTGTGGGAAACTCACCAGCGCGTGGACACGTAGTCGGTGTACGAGGGATGGAAGAGGGGTACGATAACTCCCTATGGATGTTATAGTTTCCACCGACTATGTGGACACGTAGTCGGCGTACAGCGGACGGGAGAGGGGTACGGTAACTCCTATGGGAGGTGTAACTCACCAGCGCATGGACACGTAGTCGGCGTACGAGGGATGGAAGAGGAGTACGGTAACTCCTAAGGGAGGTGTAACTCACCAGCGCGTGGACACGTGGTCGGTGTAGGGCGGACGGGAGAGGGGTAGGATAACTCCTATGGGAGGTGTATATGGACACTCACCAGCGCGTGGATACGTACGTGTATAGGGCGGACGGGAGAGGGGTACGGTAACTCCTAAGGGAGGTGTAACTCACCAGCGCGTGGACACGTAGTCGGTGTAGGGCGGATGGGATAGGGGTATGACAACTCCTAAGGGAGGTGTAACTCACCAGCGCGTGGACACGTAGTCGGTGTAGGGCGGATGGGATAGGGGTATGATAACTCCTAAGGGAGGTGTAACTCACCAGCGCGTGGACACGTAGTCGGTGTAGGGCGGACGGGAGCGGATCTCCCGCGCCAGGCCGAAGTCGGCGATTTTGATCAGGTCCGGACCCATACAGAGCAGGTTCTCCGGCTGCGGGACAGCAGTAATTCGTCATAATGGAACACTCGAGTTGTTCGGCATTCAAAACATGCATTATTTAGAAAGGTGGGTTATTATGTTCAGCAACACATTAGCCCATTGCTCATCTTCGTGGCATCCATATGGTTAACACACGACGGGTATCTTTCGGGTCATAATTCACACTTCATTCCGACATCCCAGGGAAATTTTCAGTCTACATATTTCGAAAAACAAAAGGACGTCCACTGGTCGCCTATTTCGATGAAAAAGGTCAAACGCAAAATAATCCGCGTTACTCCAAACCTATATGACTAATGTCATGCTAGGGCCGATCCTATCCCTAAAGGTTGACCCCATCCCAAACTAGGCTGGTCGAGTTCCATGCACTGCGTAGGTATGCGCTGCCTAACCTTCATGTCTCGGTGGAAGAAGCCGTGTTTGTGCATGAACGCCAGTCCCTGCAGCACCTGGTACATGATGTTACGGATCACCGGCTCCGACAGCACCTTGTCCCTGAGGACAGACCGGGGTCAGTCAGACGCACACGTTCACCGTCAGTTAGGTTATTTCACCTTCAAATTTCTAAAATTGTAGAAGTGCGGCATAAGGTAATGCATCATGAGTAAGGTCACAGGCAATATGGTGTATGGCGATGGACCCATATTTATTCAAACATCCTCCCCTAGCATACGCATACCCAATGCCCATGTTCCTCCCAGTCAGCATTATACTTGATTCTACTAAAGAAAATTGCGCTTGCCGCGTCGCCAAGCCCAGCATCAGTCACTTTTGACAGCAAAACACGCATGCGAACCATCGATGCCCGGGTAAATCAACACCTCGATGCATCGTAGCCACCACACCGCCGTTCCCTAGGAGCCACACGGTGCAGACGGCGGCACGGGTTGACGGGGGGTGATTACCGACCACCAAGGTCACCCATCGACCCGACGGACGACGGTCGGTGCCGGTCAGGGTCATATCGGGCTACCCAAGCTGTCCACAGCAGACGGCAGTGTCCCCAAGGTTGACGGAGACTCACTAACCCCACCCCAGAAGTCAGCAACAACAACGTACGCACTGCTGAGATCTGATTCATTGGAGTCACGCACTCTGCATGGCCCACTGTGGACCATGAGGCGAAATATATTTTACAATACCTACTGAAGAGACAAACACATGGGTTTGAGCAGATTATTCCCAATCAGGAAGTCGATTTTTCCTAAGCAGTGTTTGTTATATAAGTCTGCAAGATTTTCTTAGTGCCATAAGCTGCAATTCCTGGCAAAGCACTGCTACACAGACCCCGCACTTGTCCCTCGTCTAAGCAATGCTGATTAAATCGATACCAAAGCGCAGTCATTGCCCCGGTGCGATGACATCAAGGTCATGTACTATAAGAAGCCGAGTGCCGCGGCTGGGGTCATTAGTAATGCAGATATAACGGCAGTGACAAGGTCGAACACACGCCTACTGCCCAGGCTAGTATTGGCTGAGGGGGCAACAACCCAGGGCTGTCAGCCATCGGATATGCACGATGCATGTGACCATGACCGATTCAGGTAACAAATAATACAAACAGACTGCGACGACAACGCGCATATGTCGTCAATAGCGCGGTCTGGCCAGGCATACCATTAGAGCCACAGACTATCATATGTTTTCCAATTATAATTGCTGTAGTGCATAAGGTGAAGTGCGTGTGAAGGCACAGGAAAAAAGCAGGCACTATGTCGGAAAATTTTGGATTCACGGATATTCCAGCAGCCGGCCTGAAAACCGTGCACACAAAGGGAACAAAAGGTGATCACGCAACTTCAAACCGTCAAAAAGTTATCAAATTCAGTGGGTAACCTATCGCAAAAACGTCTATCTTCTCCAAACTGAAGTACAAATATGCACATGCAATTCATTAACACAGAAAATGTTTCGGTCCGTTGTGCTGTAAAAGGAATGGCATAAATATGAAATCAATTATGTGCACTGCACCGCACAGTAGTTGATGTCCATGAATGCAGGCAGGATGATGCCGTATTATTCCAGCAAACACAAGCACCACATCCATAAGCCGGGCCAGTCGGTGAACATTGAGCGATGCAATTGAGCACTGCGTAGACATACCTGTGGCCATCCCGTAACCGCTGTTGGCTAAGAATCCAGCGATAGAGAGGAGGGCACACAACGGTAAGCTACAGTTGAATGGTGATTTGGTGTAATAAGACCGAAGTGTTCTGATGGGCATAGAATAACTAGAAAACTGCAGTTCGGTAGAGAGAAAAGTGAGCGATGGTGCGATCTTTTAGAATACGAGTAGACAGTGTGATATGGCTATCTAACGCTCATTGATGTCTCCCACCGGCTACCACAGAACCACTTTACATCAGTCGAGTCGGGACAGAACCAACTCCAAAAGCAGAGTATTTACAGTATTGTGTCGATGATCTCGCATCACATCAATTGCCCTGAGTATCTACTGAGCAGACATCACAGCACACCACAGTACATCACTCTGACCAAGATTACTATCTGACGGACTCACCTTTCCTTCATGAGCTGGTAGAGGTTCTCCTTCATGTACTCGAACACAAAGTAGAGGGTGTCGTTCTCCCGTATCACCTCCTTCAGTTTCACGACGTTGGCATGGCTCAGTTTCTTCAGTGACTGGAAAAGAGGAAGGTGAGGTTAGCGGGCACTTATTCTGTGAGTTGCACTCATGAAACCTACATCGCTGATTGACAGGGCGCTCTAGTTACTGGACCATTTCGCAACTTTGTCCTAGAATGATAATGTTGCGAGGGACAGGCAAATGATAACACCGAGCTGTTCAATATCTGCGGATCTTTACCCTGGCCATGGATTACGAAACATAAAGCGTTCGTTTCATCAGCTCCATCGACTATCATGAGCATCTTCGAGCCAAGTTGCGTGCCGTCAAAGGGATCCATGAATTTCAGAATAACGGCTTGAAAAGAGCCGTGCGTGAGTAAAATGGCATCACAAGAACACCATCCACGGTTATTGAAAACCCATAATCGCCGTAAAACTGCTTCCGAAATGCCAAGGTCACACTAAATTACACGGCAACTCCGACGGAACTACGTTCCGGAAAAAGTGGCCGGATAAAACCATCCTTGTTAGAGTGAGGTGCACGATCAGCGATAACGGCTATCAGCCGGACGGCCACACGAACTGACAAACAAGCCACAACGAATCTCCGGTGGCGCAGCGAGCAGGTTACCATAGTAACCGAGTGGCAAGATACAATGCACAGATAAGGCATATTTGCTCTTCTTTAACGTACTTGGACAGACACAGAAAAAACCTGTCTCACCTTCACTTCCCGCAGGTTCATAGCCTCCTCCCAGGAGGTGTACTTGCGCTTCATCCTGAAACACACCGGTCAAAGGTCAGTCTCTAACGACCGTCACATGGCCACTGCGCGATGACACGGCCAATTCAAGGTCGCCAAACTTCTCTATTGATCAAACCTCAGCGGTTCCAGGGGATGGTCGTAACGGTGCAGCCTGAAAATCAATCAACGTGTGCAGTTTACATGCAGCAGTGTACCTCTAGAGTGGGCTTTCAACGGGGCATGCTGGCTTCACATGCAGACAAGCGAAAAGCATGACAGACCATCAGAGGGCACTTTGTATCCCATACCACACGTCCTTATGCAACACACGGTATCAAATATAAGATGATGACGCCCATTTCACGCTGTCGTATCACGTTGAATTATGCATGAAACTCATACACCGGCACCCCTATAACACGGCCTAGTGCGGGGTTTTATGACACAATTGGAAGGAATCACTAGCGCCTTTTACCGACAGGGACGGGGCGGACGAATGGGCATAGGCAAAGTCCAGGGCGAATTAAAGGACTAACACGAAGAGGACAAAGGCTAGAGCGGGGGTAGAGCAAGATGTGAAAAGCGAGAGGCTTAGCGCACCTTTTGATGGCGACCTTTTCGCCCGTCTCCTTGTTGAGACCGAGACTGACATCGCCATAGGTGCCGTCCCCGAGCACCTTGAGGATCGAGTAGCGGTGCATACCGCCCGGGTCCCGCTCCTGCTGCTGCTGTTGCTGACGCTGTCGTTGACGTTTCTCCCCCACCGGCGGCAGCGATGTGCTCATTGGACGGTGGGGGACGGGGAGAGGGGGAGGGAGGAGGGGAGAGAGTGGTGGGGGAGGGGAGAGGAGGGGAGGAGAGGGACTGGTTTTCACTGGACGCTGCCGGCAGGTCAGGAGGCACGGATGGGGTCAGGATAGGCTCAGGGAGGGTCAAGATATGTCAGGTTGAGGTCAGGGTAGGTCACCATAGGATAGAGGTGGGGCCAGCTTGAGGTGCATGAGGTCGAAGTGAACTTTATTCCAGACATCGATTACACGCAGTCAGAACAACCCAAGTCAAGTAAAAGGTGCAGGGTGCAGGGTGCAAGGTGCAGGTGCAAGGGTGGGTGCGTGACAGACACAACAGCGGTCCAGTGAGGGCCAGTGGTGCAGACAGGGGATAGAGCATCTCCACTGGCGTGCTGCTGCTGCGGGGCACTGACTGGTGCCATCACTGGTGCAGTGGTGCAGTGTGCCGTCGGGAGTGCAGGTGCGCCTAGAAATAAATCAAGGTTGGTTAGATCGGGTCATGCCAGGTCACGTCATATTAAACAAGGTAAGATCAGGTCAGATTGGGTTGGATGGAGTTGAATCAAATCAGCCTGAGTCATCTCAGGCCAGCCCAGTACATCATGATGGACTTTCTTCAGCTTGACAACTTACAACGATGATTGATTTACATGCTTACCAAAAGTCGCGCCCCCCAAACACCCATCATCCATTTTTCCTCTGAACATGTGCCTTTTATCGGTGTTCTAAGTTCAACTGCATTCGTTCAATGTCCCACGCCCGACACCCAACCCAGCTCAGCACCTCCCCGATCCGACAGACGTCAATACCCGCTCCTCTCCCCTCCCTGGCTCCCTTCACCCGTCCGATATACGTCAATACAGCCGGAATAACCCAGCGCGGGCACTGCAGCCGGCCACAGCCCGATAGCGTGGGCCACCCACACTCAATGCTCGTCAATGGAACCGTGATAAACGTGGTGCAGTCCCGGACTGTGGTGGGTGCGGTGGCTTAGCGGATGGTATGGCGACCATATGGGGCAGCGTGATGCACTATGGGATACAAAGGGTAATGATACTAGACGCGCAGTACCCATGTCGCAGTGATCTATATTTAGCCAAATGTTCATCTAATAGCTGACATTTAGACGGCTACGCACGGTGAGCAGGATCTATCCAGTACCTCTATAGGTATAATTATAGCCTCCCAGGTATTGAGCACACCGTTCTCGATATAAGCGGATAGCAAAATGTCATCCTGAAATTAACCCTACACATCAAAACACCAATCCGCCGACCACCACTACCGCAACCGCCATCAATACCACACAATCTCCGACCACTGTTCTGTCGTACCGCGAGTGTCGCCCTCCACCCGTGCATAATTCAGCAGATAATTATGCCATGCGGACGGAATCGCGGCCGCAGCGGCCGTCGAACACACCATTTCGAACCAGCCGGGGGCACGCCGCAACAAACAAGGCTCGAATCGAGCCGCCCGCGGCTGAAATTGGAGGCGGCGCGCTCATCAGACACCTGACACGCACTGTTCGGACCGACGAGCCCCCGACGAGTGCCCGACGGACGCACCCAACCCACCGTGACGAGCCCCCGACGGACGACGCCACCGAGGAGCGCCCGACACACGGCACGGGTCGCGGCACGTGATACGTGTCATCGCACGTGTCCCGGGGCTGTGCAGAGCCCCGCGGTGACACGACGGAAGGGTGGGCGCGGGTGGTGGCGTGATCGACATGTGTTCATGGGGGAGGGGAGGGGCGCCGGAGGGACAGGGGAGGGTCTGTGTGGTCATTAGGAGCTGCACGGCCGGAAATGTCGATACCAATGGAAGGGGTAGGGGAGCCAGAGCCGGTGATTGGGGGAAGGGTGCTGGTGAGTGAGGGGAAACAGCAGGGACTGGACATTGATAAAACAACTGAACATAGCCGTGAATATAAGCCACCAACACCAACAAAGCGAGAAAGGAAATATCGATCGTTGATGATTTGAGCTAAAATAAATAATAAAAAAATATTGGGAACGTCCACATTGTCCATAAATGTATTCGAGTACAAAATAATCTGAATTAGGAAATTTACAAGACTCATCAGGAGGCAGGCACCACAGCTACAAAAAGATCTTCTCCGACGAAAGGCCTATCAAGTACAATGAAGAAATACATACATGACGACTGCAACCGATGTACACCAAAAAGCCACATTCAGCGTAGGTATTACAGAAGCTCCCTCTCCCGTGGCGCGCAGTTCTCACCGTTTGATGGCGACTTTTTCGCCTGTGTCGAGTCTCTGTCCGAGCACCACGGAGCCGTAGGTGCCGTCCCCCAGCTGACTGAGCGTCACGTACCGGTCCATCGTCTCAATCATGGTGCGGCGCCGGCCTGCACGGGTCGAGAGGGAGAGTAAGACAAGGAGAGAGAACACATCGCTCTGTGGGGGGTGCATCCGTGGGGTGGAGACGTGCAGTCGCGCGGGGATGATTACGAAGGGAGCATCACAGTCGCGGGAGGAGATAAATATCACAGGGATGGAGGTTGTGGGACACAACCACAGGAGGAAGTGTCACAGTCCCTGAAGGGAGATCACAGTCACAGGAGGGGCGTCACAGATATGGAGAAAGCGCGCCACAGGTCGCGGGAGGAAGAGTCACCGCCATGGAGAGAGTATCACAGTAAAACAGACCCTAAGTTGGTGTTAATGTCTGCAGAAGAGTTTCATAAAAAGCAATGGAGAAGAGGTTACGAAAAACGGAATATGGTGATTCTTTCACTATATCTTATCATTTACGGCGTGCAAAGCCAAGATGACGTTTGCTGATAAAATTTATATTGTACGAATGTTGACGCTAATGTGCAAAAACAGTCTGATGACGCTCACGTCAATATTTTGATAAATAGCAACGTCTAGACCGGTCAAAGAAACGTGATTTATTGGGAAAAACTTGTGGGTGTTGCTGCAACTATTAGGTCGTTCAATAAGTAACGAACAATCGGTCATAACTTCTTTATTTGTTTATTTAACACTTTCAAACTTTCACAGATTATAGATCAGACATTTCTGAATGTAGCCTTTGCCTCAAACCAGTCGCCGCCCGCCTGCACACACTTCTCCCAGCGTTCCGGCCAACGCCGGAATTCCGCTCGGAAAAACGCGTTTTCCGTCTTTTTCACCCAGTTCATGACAGCGCACATGACTTCAGCGTCGGTCTCGAAGTGTTCACCATGGAGGCCATCCTTTAGGGGACCAAAGAGGTGAAAATCTGAAGGAGCCAGGTCTGGACTGTAGGGCGGCTGGGGCATGATATTCAGCCCTGTCACGCGATCTCCTCGCGCGTGGCGTGAGACAAGTGCGGTCGGGCGTTGTCATGGTGTATGGTGATGTTGTTGACATCCGAGCCGCGCCTCTTCTTCAGGATTGCTTTTCTCAGTCTCCTGCAGGACTGTGATGTAGCGGCCCGCTGTCCATAGTCCGCCCAGGTTCAAGAAAGCCCACCAGGATGACACCATGACAACGCTCGTCCGCACATGTCTCACGCCACACGCGAGGAGATCGCGAGACAGGGCTGAATATCATGCCTCAGCCGCCCTACAGTCCGAACCTGGCTCCTTCAGATTTTCACCTCTTTGGTCCCCTGAAGGATGGCCTCCGTGGTGAACACTTCGAGACCGACGCTGAAGTCAGGTGCGCTGTCAAGAACTGGGTGAAAAGACGGAAAACGCGTTTTTTCCGGGCGGAATTCCGGCGTTGGCCGGAACGCTGGGAGAAGTGTGTGCAGGCGGGCGGCGACTGGTTTGAGGCAAAGGCTACATTCAGAAACATTTGATCTATAATCTGTGAAAGTTTGAAAGTGCTAAATAAAGAAATAAAGAAGTTATGGCCGATTGTTCGTTACTTATTGAACGACCTAATATTTGGTACACGATCAACCCGCATACAACTGTGGCATTTCTGCAAAAACCGGCGACACAAAACACCATCGAACGCTATTTTCATGGTACGGCTCACGAAGGCCAACGACCCCGCATGGATAATGATTCACCGATGGTCCATTCATCATCATCGTATTGATCAACAGGCATCGGCGGCCAACGTTAAGTGCCGATTCCGATAAAGGTACCCGACATTACCACATAACCTTTCAGTTGACACCCACGCATGCCAACAATGTCCCGGCTAGCACATGCTACCTCTCAGTAATTTTCGACAACCGTCATGAAATACCACTCTCCCCTACATGATTAAATCCACGAGTAAACATTCTCTCCGATCACCCAATTCACCTTCAAAGCCCACCTGTAGCTCTGTTGCATTCCCTGCCGCTCTCGGAAGGGACAGTCACTTCTCTCCACCACCACAGCAGTCAGCTACATCACCCTCAGTTCCCGGGAGAACTCTCAGACAAGTCAACGTCCTCTTCCAACCCACCCCCTTGGACTGAGCAGTGAGCACCTTCGACAACAAGTATCGTCGCTGCCAACGTGAGTGGAATCGTCGTCGACGGGAGCGGAGTCGGAGTCGGAGTCGGCAGCGCGAGGGGACCCGCCCGCCACCTGCGGCCTACCGACGGCGACTGGACCCTACCGTTCGACGACGGCCCTGCTCACCCCCTCCCCTACCCGTACCCCTCCGCAGCACCGGTCACCAATATATCGACCGACGCTGAGCCCGCAGTGGCCGCAGGTAGGCGGCCGCTGCTCATTTGGAGACCACTGACGAGTGCTCGCGGCTCGTTCGGAGACCACTGAGTGGGTTCAGGGAAACCGTCGACGATCATCGAGCTGCCCTTGGGGAACTTACGAGCCCGCTGGGGGCGGCCATGCGACAGCGGGACAGGCACCGCTTGGTTTATCGATAACCCATAAATGTGAGAGCGTGAACCGTCCGCGATTATTAATCTACCACTTTTTGGTACTTGCATTACAAAATACTATTGCACGCCTAAGGCACGGCAAATAATCGCGCATCCATATACTTACACACATCTCAGTCGATTCGCAGTAACTTCAGCTGCTCCAACTACACGTCTATGTGACCACAATACCGTTTTCCTCTACACCCGATGGGACTTTATGCAATCGCTGACCGATTTATAAACCATATTTATGTCGGAGCTGCAACCTTCTGCCTGTCCATTTACCCTCCCTACAGACGTGGTTGGGTGCGCCACTGCCCCCGACCCGTCACGTGATGCCCGGAGGGCACCAACCGGCGGAGCGGGTCATTTGAAACGTGTGGCCGGCAGGCGCCGGTTCGCGAGGTGGGACGGGGTGGTCCGCGGAACAGAAGATTAGGCCAGAAGTCGAAGAGGAGCAATCATGGAGGTAACTATTTTGTCAGATTTTCACATATTATATCAAGGTGGAGTCCATAAACAACAGATACCTTATATCTTTCCTCGGGTCATCCCTGGATAGAAAACCAATAGAAATCAGCCAGGATATGATGTCTTTTGTTGAAGAAATCGACATCGACGGGATTTATTTAAGTCGACGGGAGGTATTCTGCAGTACCAGTAATATTGGTGAAACACTTTTAACCTGAGGAGTCAAGTTCCAGCCATATATCAATGTCAATGTAGGGGCTTGGTTCCAGCTGTCTCAGCACGTGACCGTCTCCGTTATGGGCGAGCGGTCGGCGGGTGTCCGGCACGTACGGAACGTCGACTGGCTGCAGGTGTCGGCGGTTACGCACATGATACGTCCGCTCACCGGCTCGACCGATGATCTGCTGGGGATCGGTCCAGCAGCGCTCTCCTGGCAGGCGGGTGAGGACGACATCACCGGGCCGAAGAGCAGGCAGCGGCCTGACTCCATGCCTCCTGTTGAAGTCAGCAGTGCTCTTGCGCTTGGCTTCGTCCGCCCGGCGAGCGATGTGAGCCATGTCTGGCCAGCGCGGCGCGAGATGGGCCTTAGTCGTCGGTAGTCGCGATCGAAGCTGGCGGATATCTTTCCTCGGGTCATCCCTGGATAGAAAACCAATAGAAATCAGCCAGGATATGATGTCTTTTGTTGAAGAAATCGACATCGACGGGATTTATTTAAGTCGACGGGAGGTATTCTGCAGTACCAGTAATATTGGTGAAACACTTTTAACCTGAGGAGTCAAGTTCCAGCCATATATCAATGTCAATGTAGGGGCTTGGTTCCAGCTGTCTCAGCACGTGACCGTCTCCGTTATGGGCGAGCGGTCGGCGGGTGTCCGGCACGTACGGAACGTCGACTGGCTGCAGGTGTCGGCGGTTACGCACATGATACGTCCGCTCACCGGCTCGACCGATGATCTGCTGGGGATCGGTCCAGCAGCGCTCTCTTGGCACGCGGGTGAGGACGACATCACCGGGCCGAAGAGCAGGCAGCGGCCTGACTCCATGCCTCCTGTTGAAGTCAGCAGTGCTCTTGCGCTTGGCTTCGTCCGCCCGGCGAGCGATGTGAGCCATGTCTGGCCAGCGCGGCGCGAGATGGGCCTTAGTCGTCGGTAGTCGCGATCGAAGCTGGCGGCCCATGATCAGCTGGGACGGCGTGCATCCTGTGACGTCGAGCGGCGTTGACCGGTACGTCAGAAGCGCGAGATACGGGTCTGGCTGAGCCATGATTCGCTTCGCCGTCTGGACGCCTCGCTCAGCCGCGCCGTTTCCCTGGGGGCAGTACGGGTCAGACAGAGTGTGGAGGAACCCGTAGTGCCGTGCGAAGTCAGCAAACTCGGCACTAGTGAATTGAGGTCCACCGTCTGACCGTACTTCCTCGGGGATGCCCCATCTGGCGAACAGCGACTTCATGTGGTTGATCACCTGCGCGCTGGTGGTACTTCTGAGGTGTTCAATCTCTATCCACCGGCTGAAATAATCCACGACGATTAGATACATCTGTGAGCCATATTGACAGAGATCCGCGCCTATCTTCATCCACGGACGCTCTGGCAGTCCCCTGGAGACCATGGGTTCTGCGTGCTGAGCTCGACGGTTCGTTTGACAGAATCTACATGATTCTATCCAACTCTTGAGGTCAGGACTCAAGCGAGGCCACCACACCGAGGCGTACGCTCGCTCGCGGGACTTCGAGAGACTCGTGTGCCCGTCATCATGGATCCGTTGCAGCATTTGGGCTCTCAACGACTCTGGGATCACTAAGGGGGAACGGAAGACGAGCGGCCGCAGACCCCGCGGATCCAGAGGTCGCCCGAGCAGCCGTCGCCGCGGTCGCCCGAGCAGCCGTCGCCGCGGACCACAAAGCCAGCTCCGCCCCCGTCGCGTCAGCCCGCGCGCCCAATCCTGACACGATCGGGACGCGCCTCGGTTGCCCCCACGCGTTTGGATCTGTAGAGGGCCGCTGTGTCGTGCCGATGTTTAGTTCAGAGCCGGTGTCGTTTGCGTAGAAAGATGTGTCTCAGTAAAAAGGGGGAGATGTGTCGGAATATTGCAGCAGAATAGTTGCAGCATTTGTTGATACTTGGTTAACACGGATACAACCAGTAAAACGCCTTTTGGGCGACCAACGGAGCGAGCGAGAGGATGGGCCTTGCACGTGCGAAATTGCGAGGGGGTACCTCCAACTAGCTTGTGCACTGCACCCTACTAACCGGTCTTTAGCGATGTGCCAAATTTCAGCGCAATCGGCCTAGCCGTTCTCGAGATCTGGAAGCGGCACACTGCACGTGCGCACGTGCAAGCGGGGTCCAAATTGACTTTTGCACGGCACCCTACTAACTGGTCCCCAACCGTGTACCAAATTTGAGCGCAATCGGCCCAGCCGTTCTCGAGATCTGGGAGCGCCCCCTGCACGTGCGCACGTGCTGTAGCACCCCAACCTTAACACATGCAGATGAATTATCTGATGGAGACCTAACTGTGTACCGAGTTTCAATTCAATCGGCCCAACCGTTGTGCCGTTATTGAGGTTGCAATTTTGGAGGTTCTTAAAAAATGTCCAACTTTACCACGCGCCACGTGCGGTGGTTGGCAAGAACGCATGGTGGCCATCACACCAAAGAACTTTTACGTCCAAGTGACATTCAGTAAAGAAGACCGCTTGTCAATCGGATGTCCCGTTCCTAAGATATTAGCTTTTGAAGAGCGTCCCCACGGCCGGCCGGCCGGCCGGCCGGCCGCTCATACTCAGGATTTTCCCTTAATTCAGTATGAGACTCCGCTCGCTTCGCTCGCTCCGTAATAAACAGTCACGGTCACGTGCTGAGACACCAGCAATCCTGGAATGGACATAATTAATTCTGGCTGTGGTGTCTACATAGAAGAAAAGGAAGGGTGGTAGGACTGGTAAGGATATTGACAAGCATATTGCACACATTTAACTAATTATCCCACCATTTAAAATACAGGAATGGGGCTTCTGGTGGCTAGGCTAGGCCAAGGCTAGGCTATTATGCTGGGAAAATCAGATCATTTATGGAGGAAAAAACAGAAGATCACTATTTACTTTTTTAGGATAAAGGGAAATCAGGTTTCTGCTAAGACTCAGAGCTAGAAGAAAACTTCAAATCAGGAGAGGTAATTAAGGCAGTTGCTTGATAGTTCTACTGTTTTCATGATCAAAAAGTGACTGAAGTTAGTCACAATTGATTGAAGAAAAAAACTGGTAAGATAAGCATTCTGATGTGTGCATCTGAGGATAGGCACAGCTACAGCTGAGGATGGGGCAGCTGAGGAGTGAGGATCAGACGTTGCAGATGAGGATGGGGCAGCAGGGATGAGGATAAGAAGAGGATGGGCAGCTCCAGCTTAAGAAGGCAACAGCTGAGGATTAACACATTCTACTTCAACTTGTGATATCCATCTGTAAATGAGGTCTGAGTGTAATTTGTGAGCCCTTAGACTGTTGACTGTTCAGCTCAACATGGCAGCAAGAGCAACAAACTATAGCAGGTGGTTGAACAGTTAAAACAGGTGTTAAATACTGTGCAGTCACACAATGCACATTTTTTAGGCTAATTATCAGCAGATAGGAACCCAACAAATATGCCTAATTTTCAGCAATGCTCAGAAGGGGTATCTTATCACTGAGGATTTAACATTAAGCATCCAGATATGATTTTGATTTATAAACTTAGCATTTTTGTCTCATATTCTGTTCCATCATATTCAATATTCTTTAATGGATATCTACATATGTTACACTTCAATTAGAGAAAATATCAGTCTGAACAGCGAGTGCACTTGTCTGTCTGTAAATTGTAATTGCCCATTATCTATTTCAAATGCTATAGGCTTAGGCTAGTCCCATTCAGAAAAAAATGTTTGGAAGGTTTACCATTGAGCAGCATACCTTCATATGCTGAAAACTGGTTAGATAGGTGAGAAGGTAGGCAGTTTTACAGGAGCAAATGCTGAATTAGAATGTTCAATGTGAAAACCAAGTTGAAGTGAAAAGACTTCAACTTTGGTCGCTTTTTGATAAAGAAACGACCTCAAAACTGAAGCGAACTTCAATTTTACAATACAAGTACAGAGGCAGTGCTCACTGAATATTGAATTGGATTAATTTTGGATTCATTGAAGCTACGCAAGCGCATAAATCAATATTCCATAACCTTGAGCACGTTTTGAGCACGTTCGCCGCCAAAACTTCCGAAACGAAACTTCTCAAATGTAAACAAAAGCTACACACAGCACTATGTACGGTCAAACATATTTCCCTCCAATCATTTTTCGAAGTACGATACATCACATGAGCAAAGACAGTAATGGTGATCTAATAATTGATCAGGAATTATTTTGTGAATTGCATTTAAATTACAAATAAATCTACCAAATGAAAAAAAAATTATTAGAGTAAGCCTTGGAGTAAACCGTACTTTTAGCCCTGCCATCTACTGCCAATTTTTGTAAGCTCCAACGGACACATTCGTAGAAATTCAAGATGGCGTGGACCTTGTGATGGGATTTGTTGTTTTTTGCGATTGATGTTCAATATCGTTTAATTTAAGCGATTGAAGTGGAGAGTCTTGTTTGGATGTGGTGTTGATTTTTTGAAGCTACAAGGGTGTCAAGTCTGCTCATGTGAACTGTATCACTTTGAAAAGGGATCATAATTGTATCAGCTGCGTTATAGGAATCCTGGTGCATGTGTTTGCAATTTGAGTGAAATTTTGAAGATCGGAGTATAAGATGAAATCTGAGGCATTACCTCAATAGGCAGCCAGCATTTCAAGGTAATTGTTTATCCATGTTTTAAAGGAAACAGTTCACTTTCCTGAAATTAGTATTTTGCTATGGATTTACGATTTTTTATGCTCAAAATGATCAGAAAATAAAATAAAACCTTTTTGTAAAAACAATTATTTTCTATATTTTAATATAGGATGAACTATATTCTATGTAAAATAATGTTTGACGCGGAAGCTTATTACGCGTTGACCAATCATATTGCGGAGTTCAAACCTACGCATGCTGCATTAGCTGTAAGCAGCATGCTGATTGGCTGATGATGACTTGGCTGCATTCCTGTGCAAGGCACACATTCCTCTGCAAGGCACTCTTTTCGGAACGAGAAATGGAATATCTTCGTCTAGGGTGATCGTTGAGCCGTAAAAGCTCCTGATTTGTGCTAGTCTCAGCTCAAGCTACGAAACTGCTATTCCAGTTCAAAATCCCATGTTAAAAGTGAGCTATTTCCTTTAAAAGCTAACAATTGTTTTGTTTTGTATTGCTAGCTTGGTCCAGGTTGATGAAAACCGTACATTGAAAGCTATGAAACGGATTATTAAATTTTTACCATTAGTCTATCATGTAATTTTGTGTTATTTGTATGCTTTAAGACACAATAATGTTTTCTCCCATTTTTATAAAATAAGATCTGCCAGTCAAGGTATGATTTGTTTTTTGTGTCGAGCTGTGTGCATTTTATCCAGTCCGAGACTGAAACCACAATGTCCTGATAATCCTTTCTTCACTGATGTTGTTTTAGATTCTTCACAGTTTTAGAATATATGCTATATGATTTGAAAACTGAGATTGAGATTTAAGGTGTTGGTTATTATGAAATGCATGTCTGTTTGTTTTTATAATGCTTAACTATTACCAAGCAAGACTTGTGTGTATTTGCCTATTGATGTACACAAGCATGTTCATACCCATTCATACCTACCAAGCATGTATGCACTATGCAGACATTTTGGAAGCTGATGATTTGTAGAACAATTATTGCGTGTGTATTTACAATAATCATTTCTCAAGTTCATTGAACAATTAAGAAGACATTTTAAATGGATTTTTTTTTCTTCTGATATAGCTCAAATATTTCATTAAAAGTGTTGTCATTGGTACCAAAATTATGTTCAGGTTGTAATGAGAATTTTAGTATAACTCAAAAATTTACTCTGAAGAAGTTTTATTTTGATACCTATATAATTGGACATAAAAATGAAAGCTATGAAAATGATTCTACATACCTACTATAAATCCTCTAACAGCTAGATTACCTAGTGAAGACTTATTGCATGTAGATTGTGTACTGAATTTTGATACATCACTTCCTAAGAATGGAATGTGTGGAAATGGAATCTGTCAGTGTCATCTGGGATCATGGATAGATAGGTTTTTGATAGTTAATTTACCGTAACTTTTGTGTAAGGTAGAGTTCATTAGGCATACATTCAATGATAGAAGGGTTTATAGAATTTCAAGGATTTATAAAATTATAGAAGGTGGATATTGCCTAAAGATCCAAAGGATGATTTTGGTTGATAACCAAATGTGATTTTTAGGGAGTATGTGTGTGGTAAGCACAGCCCATTTGTGAGTGTAAAATCCTGACATATTTGTCATGTATCCACTACATTCTATGCCATTCACCACTGTTGAAATGAACCAAAATGGCCCTAAATTGCTAAAAAGGAAGTTATTGCTACCTACCCACCAAATCTCAAGATCAGCATGTTAATGTCTATTATTGATCAGTCCTTCCTCTCTGCAAGGTTTTAGCTGACAATGAGATACTTTTAAGTTTCAAGTGGTCATGTTGTGTGTGTTCTCCCTCACCAAAAGTACCACACAAAAATGGTCATAACTGACCATCTAGCATCAGATCACATTAGCATCACCTTTTGATTGCTCAGGATCACCCCCTATTCGATGGTTGTTTTATCTGTTAGAATGTGTGATTGAGTTAATCTGTGCTGTTTGTTGTGTGCCCAAGTGTCCATTTGTGCTGTTCATTGTGCCCTGAGCGGCCGTTTGTGTCCTTAGCGGCCGTCTTTGCCTGTTTTTCCATGGCTGAGCGACCCCCTCTGTGCCTCTACTACAGAGACGGAGCCGCGACTGCCGGAGAAGGGGCGGTCTGTGCTGTCACAGTGTGTGCTGAGCGTCCCCCTGTGCCCCTATTACAGAGATGGAGACGGAGCCGCGCCTGCCGAGAAGGGGCGGTCTATGCTGTTACAATGTGTGCTGGTCTGTGCTGTTACAGTGTGTGCTGACTGTCCCCCTGTGCCCCTATTTCAGAGATGGAGACGGAGCCGCGCCTGCCGGAGAAGCGGCGCCGGCGGGCCACCGGCCAGGAGCCGGTGTCGGCGCCGGCGCCGGCGCCGCTGTCGGTGCGCCAGCTGCAGGTGGCGCCGCCGGCCGCACCCGCCGCGCCGGCCGCCGCCGCAGCCACGCACTCAGGTGAGGGATGCAGGACACGGGTAGACGCTCAGGTGAGAGCTCTGAGCTACAGTTACTCCTAACTCCACAGGCAGATGATGCTCATTGCTCGCACCAGCAGCCGCCATGCGATTGGGTGAGGGCCCTGAGTCGCCGTAGATATAGCGGTGCTCGCAAGTGAGGCTCGCAGGCTGTAGTTCATAGCAATGCATTCGAGCGGGGATCGCACCAGCTGCAGCCACCAAGCTATTTTCGACCAAAATACTGCGCGCTTTATGACTTATGTAGTTACTTGTGGACTGTGGAAGCATGACCTTTGTTTCCCACAAAGGTCGTGATGCTAACTAGCAGCTCTTGTGATCAGCACCACCATAAATCGAGAGCCTCCGAAGCAAGGGTCATTGCGGCTCACGCTGATTAGTCATTTATCTCTGCGAACTAGCGGTGATCGATTCGTGCAAAACGATGTCACTGTCAGCGCGCTATGGGGCCCAATAAACATATGATTATTGCCGTGCAATTCGTTTAGCGTATTACTCAGCCAAATAAGTAGCTAATGATCGTTGTCTGCTAATGTGATGATGTGTTGCCATGACAGGTCGATGGTGAATAGTGGTCACTAGTCAATGATTGTTGGTTGTATAACTATACAACGACGACACTAGACTGTATAGTGTATGCACGAACGGCAGTTAGGTACTTGTAATGCTGCCTGTGCTTCTGTTACGTAACATGTCAGTACCAGGGGCCCCAAGAAAAGATGTATTGGGAGACAGATGAATGTATTGGATGCAAGTCACGATACTTTGAGCTGACATCTGATGTAGAGGGTTAACGGCGCCGTGAACAGTGTTTGGAAGATCACCTTAGGATGCTTCATGGAAGTGTATTGGAAGGCTTCCGAATTGCGAAAGACGCATTTGTTCCGTACAATGATGAATGCCATTTTCCGTATTTGGTCCATGATACTATCGTGCGATCTTTATTCCACGGACGTCATATAACTAATGAACCAAAACCACCGACTCTGGATGCTCTGATCTCCGCCTCTCCCCCGCGCACCGGCCATTCTAGTGTTCCGTGTACCCGCCGCCTCTGTGGCTCTCCTCTGACCACTCTGCCCCTCCCCTCTTCCCCAGCGGCTGGCGGTGAGCCCCTGGTAATCCGTACCCCAGCCGGTACGGAGGCCACCAGCAAGATGCAGCAGATTCTGCGCGCGCTCGGCCGCAGGCCTCGCCAGAGACGCGCCCGGAAACTCTCCAACGCCGCTCAGCTGAAACAGACCCAGGAGGGGGTCATTGACCTGGAGACGCCGGACAGTATCCTCACCAGAGTGCAGGTCAGTGACACGGCGACCGCCGCTTCTCGACCTCTTTTGGTGGAGGTTTGTCAGTGGAACGGCATCGCTACGGTCGTGGCTGGAAGGGTGTGCTGGCCTGGTCCAGTTCTGGGGTGTGTCGTAGATAATGTCCGTTATTTGTTTGCTGGTGCTCTGGGAGGTTGTTAGTCTCAGCGGGGCCTCCGAGGGTAAATCATCCCGGCAGTAATGCAGGGCTCTTAATCACGGGAGTCATGTTTGTTGTCGTGGAATGATTCAGTTGCCGGGTGATTATACTCTGCACGGTGCACTGGAGTCTGCTCTTGCACATATCAGGCACGCCATGGTGTCCTGTCCATTACCGTGTGCACTGATATCATGTTATCAAGCGGCAGATATAATGTGTTTAATGCATCTCTTCATTCAAGTACGGGTTTTGTAAGAGTCGACCATGCCAGCTCATGGTTTATCGCTGCGATTGATCTCTACGCCCCTCTCATCTGGCCCGTCCCTCGCTTCCATCCATGGCTCTCCGTCCCCGTTACTCTGACCCCCTTTCCAACTGACCCGTCGCGTTCACCCGCGGCAGGTGAAGTCTACTGACCCGGTGTGTCCTCTACTCTCCCCGGCACCCTCTCCGCTACTCTGACTCCCCACCTTACTGATCCGCCGTGTCCTCCCGCAGGTGAAGTCACTATTGAGCCGGTCGGCCTTCTGCCGGCTGGCGTCGCCCTCTGTTACTCTGCCTCCCCACCTGACTTCACCTGCTCGTCCTCCCCCAGGTGAAGTCTCTGCTGAGCCGGTCGGCCTTCTGCCGGCTGCCGTCGCTCTACCAGCTGCAGCTGGCTAAGATGCTGCCCGACGCCGACGGACCCAGCGGATCAGACGGAACCATGAAGTGAGTCTTGGGCGACGGGCGACGGTTGCAGGTCTATGATGGCTTATGGTGACTGGTGGATGTGGCAGCGACAGAGCCCACTGCAGTGTGCTGAACACTGTGAGTTTGTGGTTGTTATGATTCTTAAGTACTGGAGCACCCCTTTAGTGCCAGCTTTGGCAACAAACATCGAACGATTTCGAAATATTCGCTATCGGAAAGTCGATGTCGGGGTGTTCCGATAGTTCTCATTGTCTGGGTCTGGATGCCCCTTTATTTGGATCTCCCATGCAATTAAGCTAAGTGGTTTCACTGGATTATCCAATGGAGCCCTTTACTTTCCCAATATATCATGCTCTGTGTGCGGCAAACTGTGTGCATGCGATAAATTGTACCCCACTTTGCCTCGGCGCAACACCGCTGCCGCTTCCTCCATTGTTTCTCGCTTCCATCATAGTTTGTTGGCAAACTCCAAACACCCATTGCCCCATAATTTCTAACTCCGTGCTCTTCCGGCAGACTGGGCGGGGCGAGCCTCAACAACGAGTTCCTGGCTCGCGCCTGTCAGCAGTGGCAGGAGCGACTGAGGCGGGGCGAGTTCACGCACGAGAACCAGCACAAGTACCGCGCAGACGTGGACATGATGCGGCGCCGGCTGGACCCCTGGAAGGTGAGAATAGGAAACGAGAAAAGGGACAGTGCTTTTCGGGATAGGAAACGAGAAAAGGGTGGAGAGGAAAGGGGCAGGAGGGAAGGTTGGTGCTATGTGGCGATGTGGACGTTTGCAGCTTGGTTGAGGATAGTGCGGAACGATTTGAGGAAAAGTGACAGTGCTACTGGTGAGAGATAAACTGATCGTTTGTGGGACTATTTGAGCAAGTCGCTGGGAGCCTTGTGTGCTGACCGCGTGAATACTGCGTGCGTAATTTATCTGACTTGGTCGCTGGCGCGTTCTCTATGAACCCCCAGCGGGCATCTAAAGGCCGCCCCACACTGGACCTCGCATGCGGGTTGCGAGTTTTTGGGTTTTCGGGTTTCTTCAAAATTTAATAATGCAATCTATGCTGAGTGACCCACACTATCATTTAACAACCGAGTCTGCATATTTTTAGCTTGCGAGCGATCTTGCATCGCATTCCAAAAGTTGATGTTTAGTCAACTCTCGATTTTCCTCGCTGCGAGGTCTGCGAGTTCTGCGAGGTTTGCGGGTTTTTCGTTGGAGTCGAATTTTGGTTCGTTGCGCTGTTATTGCGACTATATGTAATTTTCTGAAGGTGTGCCGGCTTCACTGCATTTATGAAGTTACAATAAGGGAACGGTCTAATCACTATGAATTAGTATTATGCCCGCAAACTCAAAACCCGCAAACTCGCAACCCGCATGCGAGGTCCAGTGTGGGGCGGCCTTAACGATTGAATGATTTCTCTGGGACCAGCCCTGCCATTTGATAGCTGAATTTTCTGGGAATAGCCGAGCGACTAACGTCAGAAGTTTGGTAATATTGATGACGTGACGCGGAGAGTCTCCAACAGTTACGATGTCATAACTCTGGAATTGAAATTTACCGAATCCACTGATCTGCAAGGGAATGTCAGATGGTTTAATCATCCTGCTGGTTTTGTAGGGGCTTTTAGTGGCTGTCATTCGCATGCAACGTACTCGATCATCATACGTAGTGCTGTAAAACTTGACATTGTTTTTGCTGATGCTACTGCCGGTTGTTTACCGTAGAGCACTCTGCAATATGTGCCGCTTTGATTTCTGTTTATTCATCGTCGCACCCTTCCTTCTATGACTCTGTACCTCTCTGTGCTTGTGCCACAGGCGCGGAACTTTGAGCCGGTCTGGGGCCGGCGGCCGCGCCGCTCCGGCAGTCCGGTGACGCGTGAGGCCCAGTCGGTGCTCGGCACCGCCCTGCCGCCGGTGCCCGCCGCCGCCGCCGCCGCCGTCCTACCAGCCGCCGCCGCCACCACCACCGCCCCGGCGGCCGTCCCCGTCTCGGCGGCGGCAGCAGCGAGCAGCGCACCCAGCGGCTCGGCCGCCGCCTCGTCCGTACCTGAAGTGAAGCCAAAGAGGTCGTGGGCCACGCCGCCGCCGGAGTCAGCCGAGAGAGCAGCCGGCGCCGAGGACGAAGGTGCGTTCAGGGGAGACGGGATAGGTGGCTTTGATACGCGTTGGTTAAGCGAATTCAGTCCTGAAAAGAAACCGGAGAAGTAATTTCTTGGAAAGCATTTCTGATCATTTTCGTTAGGCGAGTGCTCAATAAGATATTTGTACGAGTAACGCATAAAGGCTTCATTTTGGCTGCATTTTGACATTTAAGACGATTCAAGTGATCCACATAGCAGCACTGCTGCGGTTGTGCTACATGCCTGTGTACATTACATTTTGCCACTTATTTCGATTTACTAGCTCAAATTTACCCTCGCTCTGAATGCGTCAGCGGCTTTTTGCTCCGTCCCTTCCCAGCGCGTATCAGATTGTCCCACGATAGTCCGCCGTGACAGAAGGTGCGTGATGTCTGACTTACCCTCCCCTCTCTCCGCAGAGTGGAGCTCCCCCAACGACGTGTCTCTCGAGTCCACCACGTGGTCTCCGACTGAGGAAGCGGACGACTCGGGTCGGACCGAGGACGAGCTTCCTCCGGCCGAGGAGGACGAGGACGACGTCGGCGAGGAGGAGGAGCCCGAGGAGGAGGAACTGGAGAGGATGATGGAGCAGGTGGAGGAGGAGGAGGACGAGGAAGAAGAGCCGGAGGAGGCGGCCGCCGAGGTGGCCGTGTTTGTGGCCGGGTCGGTGTGCGGCACCCCGCCGGCGCCCGACAGCCCGCCGCGGGTGCAGCTGACTGCTCTGGTGGCCCCGCGCGCCGCCGGACGGAGGGACTCCCCGCCGCCGTCCCCGCCGCCGGCCGGTGTCGGCGTGTCCGTGCTGCCGGTCGGTGTGAGCTCCTCTGGGGGACCGAGCGGCTCGGAGAGGGCCGCGCCGGCTGACCCTCTCATCACCACCATCTCGATCACGACGGCCAACTCGGAGCCCTCCTCTCCGGCCAGCGAAGTCGGCGGCGAACAGGGCACGGAGGAGGAGCCTCCGGCGGCGGCGGCGGCGGCGGCGGCCGAACCCGTCACCGTGGAGCTGCAGACCGCGGCGGGACGGCCGCCTGACCGGCCCACCTCCCCCGCCGAGCAGGAGGAGCAGGAGGAAGGAGAAGATGAGGACGAGGAGGAGGAACAGCGGGTAACGATAGTGCCGGTGCCTGGTCCGGCGCCGGCCCCGGCCGTGCAGGCAGTGTCAGAGGCTGTTGAGGGGATGGAGAGCGACACCCCGCCGACAGTGACCCCAGCGGTGGCGTCTCCGGCTCGGCAGGAGGAAGTCACTGTGACGCCTCTGGTGACGCCGAGCACGTCACCGGCCCCGGCGGCGGTCCCGGCCGCGCCTCACCGGTCGCCGCCGCCGGCAGCGTCTGCCACCCTCTCCCCCGCCGCTGCTGCTGCCGCTGTCTCTGCCGCTGCCGTGGTGGTGTCGTCTGCCGCTCCAGCTCCGGTCGCCGCCTCAGTCCCGGCTCCGGCGGTCTCCACGACGGTGACAGCGGTGTCAGGCGCTGTCACCCAGCAGCCTCAGCCGGCGGTGTCAGAGGCAGCACAGCAGCAGCCGGCGGCTGAGGAGCAGCTGGCGCCGGCACCGCCCCCTGCCCAGCAGCAGCAGCAGCAGCAGACACAGCTGCCAACCCAGTCCCAGCCGGCAGTTCCGCCGCAGCAGCAGCTGGTCAGTGAGAGCTCTGGTCTGCCGCATTTCTATCTAGTTTTATTTACTCGGGTTGTATGCCAGCAAGCGAGTTTCATTCTACATTCTCGTCAGTCGCTACAATAAGGGTCACCTCGGCGGCTCGGCGCCGTAAAGTTTTTATCGATGATCTTGCCGATGAGCCTGTCTGTGTTTTTCCTTGAAGTCGTGATCGTTTTGCTATATTCTGACGAAACAAAACATGTTGTCCAGGTGCGGCCGGCGCTGGCGGTATCCGCCGGCCAGCCCCAGCCGGTGGCCGTGGCCGGTACCCTTCCCCTGCCGGCCACGGCGGGCGCTCAGCCCCGGCCACAGACCTCGGCCGCGCCCGTCGCGCAGCTGCGCACCAAGGGGAAGGGACGTGGGCAGGTCAGTGAGGAAGTCAGGACGTGTACTGGTGTGTCGGGCTGGGCTGGGCTGGGCCACAATTTCTGTCAATTGCTCATCCTCGCATCTTCTGTATATATTATAATGCCTAGGTTTTCTGTGCGATAACTGGGGCTCCAACAAGGACCTTGTTTTCAAACACGTTTGTCACGTCTCTATCTGTTTGAACTGTCTACTTTGATGCTTTGTTATCCGTTTCTCTCTTTGACGCCACATTCTCTGCACCGGCAGGCCGGCAAAGCGGGTAAGGCGGCCCGTCCGCCGGCGGGTACGGTGAACCTGGAGCGCTCCTACCAGATCTGTCAGGCGGTCATCAACAAGTCGCAGAACCGCGCTCAGCTGCAGGCGCAGCTCAAACCGCTGCCGGCGCTGCTGGCGGAGCGCGGCGGCCCGGCCGGCCGGCGCTCGGCCGCCCCCACCGCCGCCGCCGCCGCCGCCGCCGCCGCCGTCTCGGCCGCGCCGCACGCCATGCAGGTCAAGTACGTCCAGGTGCCCGGCCAGAAGGTGTTCACGGCCACGCGCGTGGTGGCGATGCCGGCGGCCGGCGGCGGCGGCCACGCGGCCACCCCGCCGCCGGCGCCGCCGCCCGGGACGGTGTCCGTCAGTCAGGAACAGGCGGCGCCGCTGGTGCTCGGAGAACTGGGGGAGAACGGAACCGTGGTGCTGCGGAAGGACCTGCTCGTCCGCGGCAAACAGAAGGTCTATCAGGTGAGACTGCCGGCGGTGCGGGCTTGCGCTGGTTGGTGGGGATTTGGGGTATATGTGGATTTGGTCGCATCAGTCTTCCAGCTTCTGTCATTTTCCCAAATGTTCCTGAAAGAGCAACGAACATTCATCCCTAACATGCAACTACTACCGTTGTGAACGGTGAAGATGCACAGAAGTTTGCCCTTCAATCCTCGATGCGAACCTTCGCCGCTTTTCCGATCTTCAAGCAATTCTGACCTGATCAACGAATATCGGTGACGTCCTTCTGTCCAACTTTTGTTTTGTGCTTGCCCTTTCACCGCGCTGACCTCCGTTTCTCGGTTTCTCTCTCCCTCCCCGCTCTGTCCGCTCCCCTCCCTCTCCATCCGCACCGTCCCGTCAGCCGCCGCGCCGCTCGACCCGCCTCTCTCGGAAGCGGGCCCGCTCCCACTCGGCCTGGTCCTCGGATCCGTGCCGATTCTGTGTCGGATGCCGCGCCTCCTTCCGACCGACTGAGCGCAAACGACAACGCTAAGGTAGGACCGAAGTGGTCAGAGTACATGGTAACTAGACTGCGGGAAAATCTTCTCTAGCTGATGGTCATTTGATGTCTTGGCGTTGCAGGCGATCTGTTGAGAAACAGATGAAGAAGGCTAAGTTATCAACACGGTAGTTTAATCGTTAGTGCGTTGGTGTGCGCTTAGACAGGAGACACTGGGCTCTAACAGTGAACGTTCTTTTCCGTGAGGCCCTATAATGCTCTTTCTCTTTTGCCGGGCCCGCAGTGTCCTGCTATGAGTGTGTGATAGTGCATCACTGCTGTGTGCCCACGTGTAAGCGGTACCTGACGAATGCGTGTGTCTGTCTGCATGACGGTACCTCACGTAACTGTGTAACCGTGTGACTCTGTCTGATGGTATTTTTGTGTGTGGACGCAGATGACTGACAGCAGCGGTAAGACGGTGCTGGTGATGCGACCTGTCCTCGAGTCACCACGCGCGTCCAGCGCCCCGCCCGACCGGCCGCCGGCCGTCCTCCACCGGCTGGCCCGACCGAGCTCCACGGGCGGCGCCGTGCAGCTGACCCAGCTGACCCAGCTGACCTCCCAGCCGGCGGGACAGCACCAGCTCCTACAGCAGCAGCAGCACCAGCAGCACCAGCAGTTCATACAACAACAGCAGCAGCAACAGCAACAGATGGTCACACACCAACAGATGTTACAGCAACAACAGATGCAGGCGAGACAACAGCAGCAGCAGCAGCAGCAGCAGCAGCAGCAGCAGCAGCAGGTTCAACAGCAGCAAATTCAGCAACAGCAACATGTACAGCAGCAACAGGTACAACAGCAGCAGCAGCAGCAACAACATGTTCAGCATGTACAGCAGCAGCAGCCACCACAACCACAACCACAACAGCAAGTGCACCAGCAACAGCAGCCTGTGCAACAGCAGCAGCAGCAGCATCTCATGGTTCAGCAGCAACAGCAGCAGCACTTTATCAGTCAGCAGATGCAGCAGCAGCGGCAGCAGCAGATGCTGGCCGCCCAGCAACAGCAGCAGCAGCAGCAGCTGTCTATGATGCAGCAGCAGCAGCAGCAGCGGCCCGGTGTACCGCAGCAGCGGTTCATGCTGGACCCGAATCAGAACGTGTCTGTGCGGCCGCGTCAGTGGACGCCGGCGGTAACCGCCTACCGGCCGGCGCAGTTGGACAATGGCGCCACGCAGTATGTCAGTCTAAACCAGCAGGTGGTGCAGATTCAGAACTCTCCCAACCCCACGGCGGCCGGGGCGGCGGCGGCGGCCGCAGCCGCAGCTGCAGCGGCAGCCGCCGCGGCCGCGCCCGTCTCGGCCGGCCAGTCCATGTTCCACCTGCAGCCGGGCGGCCGGCCCATGGTGAAGGTGGTCTCGGGCGGCGGCGGCGACTGCGGCTGCAGCCTCAAGGCCATGGTGATGTGTCAGAAGTGCGGCGCGTTCTGCCACGACGACTGTATGCCGGGTCCGCCGCAGCCGGCCGTCTGCACCACCTGTCTGGCGTGCCGGTGATCGGCGCGCGGCGAGTCGACTGCCGACGGCGGCGCGAGGCATCCCCGCGGCCGCCGGCGTGTGTGATAGTGCCTTCGCTGTGTGAGTGCGCGTGGTTTTAGCAGCGGTCGGCGCGTCAGCCGGCTGAGTGTACTGGCCCCCGAGTCCGGCGGCCCATATGATCTATTATCGCGCGGCGCGTTCCCATGCTTTCCAGTGCGGGCGTTGATCTTGTTCTTTTTTACCTAATGCAGTTAAGGGTATTTTGTTTATAGTGCACTGATATTTATTGTACTGCATTCACCGTCGGGCGATGTTCAACGCCATTTGTAAAATACATATGATGTGCGCAGAGGGTTGTGTTGACCTGACGTCGAGGCAACTCGAAATCGAGCTAGGAAAACGTTCAGTGCGGTGCGAGATAGTTCGTGCACTTAACGAGTCGTGCGTCAGTGATGTAGCGCAAACACCACGTGAAGCAAGCAGCCCAAGTACGCTGAACTGGGTCCCACAAACGGGACCACTCGCTGTGGACTGGCTGGTCCGTGTGACGGGCGCGTAATGCTCTGGACACGGTGCCAAGGGTTGATCGCGGAATGTGGATAGTCTTTTCATCCAGAGACCCGCCGGGGGATTCGAACTAGAGATATTTGCATTTACTTATGTTGTCTAGCCGTGGCCGTGCACCATGACAGACCCAAAAGTCCGTTTAGCCAAACCGTCGCCACTACCCGACGCATCTGAGAGGCCCACTCTATGTATATCCTTCTAGAACAGCACCTGATGGCAGACGCGATTGGACAGCGCATACTGGTAGTGGTGTGTTTCAAGCGCGCTGTAGGAAGACTTCGATCCGCGATCAGAACTCCCTGGATACATAAGAATAGTATATATTGAATGCCACGACGGGCCGGCGCGGGCCCACGATCAGATTACATCATGCACATTGTCACACACCTTCAACCGGCGGCGGCGGGCGGGGCGGCGGCGCTGCGCCCCTGCACCGGGCGCAGTGCCGCCCGCCCGACTAGATATGTATTGGGACACCGCGCGCGCGCGCAGTGCGCGGCGTCTGAACTACCGGTATGGCGCGGCGCGCAGATATATCACAAATTCTACACCTGACGGGGCGGACCGGCGCCGTGAGCGGAGCTCCGTCCGTGCCCAACTGGAAAACGCTCCCAAAACGACAGGACAGTACAAGAGATACACTCGTGATTACAGGTCGCTACAAAAGTTCAAACACATTCGAATTCATGCTAACAAACACACCACATTCACACCGAAAGAGAACGGAGCGGCAACGTTCGGCAAAATTCCTCACACTTCCTCCACTTCACAGCACCGACAAAGACGTGTGCTGAGTGTGATGCCTGCTACTTCAGCAAGCAGCTCGTTCTAGTAGTTACCCTGTGCCCGGCTGGCGGGCGGTGGCCCTAGAGGCGGTGGCGGCTGCGCGCGCGGCGCATGGAAAGACTGTGATGGGTGGGTGCGCTGTGTGCCGCCCAGCGCCGGCGGCGGCGGCGGCCTCACTACGCGTCCCAGTCGGCCAGCTGGGCCTCGACATCGCTCGGTATCCGAGCTGGGGCCGGCACCGGCCGCGCCACCGGCTTCGGCCTCGGCCGCGGCGGGTCCGGTTTGGAGTCCGAGTCGGCGACGGTCGAGGTCGAGCTCTCACCCTCTCCCGGCGACCCCGCCGTCGCCGTCACCGTCGCTGTTGTCACACCCGCGTCACTTTCACTGGCACCCGCTGCACCACCGTTCGTCACATCTTTCACCGATTTACTTGACGCGCTATCGGCTTTTTCAGAGTCCGAGATTGCACCATCATCTTTGTGAGTCGCCTCATCTTTGCTGGAGCTCTCCGTCTCCTTAACTGGAGCTTCGAGCCTCGCCTTTGCTGCGTCGCTAGCGGCTGCTGTGGGAGGTTCTGAGCCGTCAGTCGCCTTCTCCGCCGGCGCGGCCGGCGTTTGGGACGCCTCCTGACTGGCGTCTCCCCCCTCCTCCACCGCACAGGAGCGGATCACCTCCTCGATTACCCGGTCCAGATCCCCATCATCCGTCACTGGTTTCTTGGGCCGCACTCGCTTGGTCGGTGAGCGGCGCTCCTTGGTTTCCGCTTTCTCAGTCTTCACCTCTAAACCCTCCCCCGTCGCAGCCAACGGTGTCGAGGTCGGGGTTGGCGTCGGTTCACCCACCTCACTCCCAAGCGTCATCGGTGCGGCGGGCATCGTCGGCTCGTTGAAGTTCTGTTTCATCGACTCTAGAATCTGGGTCGGTTTGGCGATATCCCTGCGGGGCGTCGGCGGCGTCCTGGTCACCGCCGCCGGTGTGGTGCTTTTGGCGCTGCCCGGCAGCCGACTGCGGGCGTATGTGCGCACCACGGCCGGCCGACGGGGCTCCCCGTCCTCCGTGAACTGGTACGGGTCGGCCGGCGGGTCGTCCGGCTGCTCAGCGGCCACGCGCCGGCCCGGCCGACGCTCCACGCGCTGCAGCATGCTCATGATCTTCAGACTTGACGCGCGGTCGACGCGCTCCACGCGAGAGGAGCTCCCCTCGATGGTGCCGGAGCCGGTGCGCCGCGGCACGCGGGCGGTCGCCGGGCGCGACACGCCTCCTTTGCGCATCCGTGAGGTGAGCTGGAGGCACTTTTGGAGCTGCTCGTCGGAGAGCGGCTGGCGGCGGGAGCTCGGCGAGGCCAGCCGGTCCGCCTGTTTGAGCTGCCGCGCCAGCTCGGCCAGCGCCGAGCCGTACGGATGGGCCTCGACCAGCTCGGAGAGCAGCTTACTGTCCGAGTCCCCGTCCTCCTGTGGGGACACAGCACGGCCGTCAGGGAAGGGAACGCGATGGGAGGAAATATTCCACTCCTAGGGTTATCACACACACACAAAAAAAAAACAGCCGGAAGAGCGTCGCACTCAAGCAAGAGCTTTAAGCAAAACCTCAAGATAACGCAAACTTCTCACAATGGAGTGCTTCGCTTCGTCAAATATTATGTCAAGCAATATAACGACCACAAAGTAAACAAAGCCAACCTTCATTCAAACCAACCGGTGGTTTGACACCACACCACCACAGTGTGACACCGATATCCACATTCCTCCCCACGCACTCCTTCCACCCCGAAACTAACCTCGGAGGCCTCCGACCGCGTATCCTCCAGTCCAGGCACAGTGACAGTGGCCGAGTTGAGTGGATGTTCGCTCTCCATGTGAGCCACAACCTTCTGCGGCGTGCAGAAGCTGATACCGCACTCTGCAGGGGGCGGACAGGGCGCGGGTCAGATAGTGGGAGGGGCAGGGAAGGAAGACGGCCAACTAAGACAAGATGGTAGGTGCCAGAGCTACGATCGAACGATTGTTAAAATCACGACGGTTATCGAAATTCTAGTGCTTAGAGTGTAAAAAAAAAAATCAATCTTCGGCATAAACTTTCGCTTCGTTACGTAGCACCAAACAAAGCATACAGATTTACTGAGTGGGACAAGCTATGTTGTGGAAACATCCAACCTAGAATCGCTATATTCGCTGTGCAGCAAAATCTTCCACCACATAAAAGAGAGAAAGCACATCTGACCCGTGTGAGAAACATTGATCAAAAGAAATGCACCGGATGTCTACCTGAGCAAGAGAAGTTGTTTATCTCACTGGCTCCGCTAGCGTTGCTGTTAGTGTCAGAAAACTCCAGACTGGCCCAATCAGCTTCTGAAAATCCCAACACCGGGTTCTAGCCAGGCAAAACGACGCGAAACTGGGCCGGGGGGCAGGCATTCGGGAAAAGAGCAGCCGTCAACTCAGAAAGAACAGCGCAACGGGAAACCATGCGGCGGGGGCATTCCAACACCTAAGGTAAGTCATTCTATGAGATATTATGCAAACAGAAAGTTCATGTAGCGTTTGTAATAGACAATCGTACTGTTTAAGACACAGAAGCGATCGCAAGCCTCGACGCATAACTAGCGTTCTACTCTGATACAAAGAGAGTTCAGTCATACCAGTCCAGGCCGTCACTTAATCAGTCGACACGGAGAGTCAAGACATCTGGGAAAGCGGACCATCTCCGGCGGAGCGGGGGACAGGGACGGCCTGGGGAGGGGGTACAGGTCGTCTCGCTCGAGCTCTCACCACTAACCATGCCAGCTGACCGCTCACAGCGCCGGTCTAACAATCACCTCAACTCACCTGAACACATGAAGTCGCCTTCCCCGTCCTCCGCCGTTGCCGGCGCCGCCGCAGTATCCTCCGAACCGGCCTCTGAGGGCGCCCTGTCAGCCGCCGCGGCGTCCGGGGCGGCCCCAGAGGTAGCAGCAGGCTGGGACGGGCCCGGCTTGGTCGGCGTGTAGTTGGAGATGTCGAGCAGAGAGGGGCTCTCGACCTCGTCCGTGGGCGCCGGAGATGCCTTTCCGGGAGGACCTCCAGCGGAGGCGGCGCGTCCCGCTGCCGCTCCGGGCCGGGAGTACTCCTCCAGGGTACGGGAGTCGTCCGTTTTGTCCTCCCGCAGAGCTGAGGGAAGGGAGGGCACACGGTGTCAGTGGTAGTGGAATGACGGTGGCGGACTAATTAGAAAGTTGGGACAACGTATGTGATGAGGTTCGACTCTGATCGCGGCGACTCAAGACAAAAACCGGTTCAAAAATGATGTGTAGAATCAATCCATTAGAATTGATTCGTCACGCAGTTTTGTAAGCAGATTGCAGAAATGGAGTCGGCCTCTCAGCCTATAGCTGTGCTTCAAACAGGTCATCGCAGACCTTGTACAGCGGAAGACAGCATAGCCCGCCGTGTTCGCTCCAAGTGTGCAGACGGGGACATCAAGGCCGCCCTTAGAGCGCTAACGTCCAACGAGGACATCGTCCATCCGACCAGCGATGTAATCCATGCTCTCAAAAGTAAGCATCCAAGCGCACCATCTGACCAGAACTTCCCTCTTGTGGCGCAAGAGGTCAACACCCAACCGCTCCAGGTATCGATGAAGCAAGTCCGACTGGCCATAGAGTCCATGCCGACCGGGTCATCGGCTGGCTTAGACGGCATGAGGCCCCTCCATCTCCGCCAGCTAACTTCAAACGAAGCGGCAGAGCCTGGAAAACGACTCCTGTCTTCTCTAACTGCATTGGTGAACTTAGCATTGGACGGAAGAATCCCGGAGTGTGCTCGAGAAGCCTTTTACGGCGCGTCTCTTTTTGCACTTCGTAAGAAGGACGGCGGTCTCCGGCCAATTGCAGTAGGCAGTATCTACCGGCGGCTGCCCTGCCGGATAGCCGCCCATCATGCAGCCAGTCTCCTTGCCCATGAGCTCAGGCCTGTCCAGCTAGGTGTAGGAACTCGTCAGGGGTGTGAGTTGGCAGTTCACGCCACCCGCGAATTTATTTCATCAATGGCTGGCACCTCATTGCCATCGGTTCTGGTAAAAGTTGATGTTAAAAATGCCTTCAACTCAGTTAGGAGGGACCGGATGTTAAAAAGTATCCTCTTGCGATGTCCTGAAATATACCGACTCGCCTTTCAGGCATACAGCGCCACGACTCCTCTCTTCATCGGAAGCCACTCCATCCGGTCCTGCTCCGGTATACAGCAAGGGGACCAGCTGGGCCCAGTCGCCTTTTCCCTTGCCGTAGACGAGTGCGCTCGCTCAATGAAATCACCATTAAACGTATGGTATTTGGATGACGCGACAATAGCTGGACCCGCCGATATTGTCGCAAGGGACCTGGAGAAAATTCAATGCACGCTACAAGAGCTCGGCCTGGAACTAAATAGCTCAAAATGTGAGGTCGCAGTCCTTGGGAAGCCCTCGGAAGAGCTTCATTCCTGCACTGTGAGGAAAATACAAGATGCCCTTCCAGGAATTATGGAAACTGCAATGGACCAACTAACTCTACTCGGCTCTCCTCTAGGCGAGGGTAGTATTTCTATTTGTCAAGAAATAGCCGCTTCTACGGTGAAGATGCTGTGCGACAGAATCCGCATGCTGGACGCACATACTGCCATCTTCTTCCTTTCTCACCATACGTCAGCTCCTAGACTACAGTACCTTCTACGGTCCAGTCCGATGTACAAGAACCTAACAGGATTACAGGCAATCGATGAACTTGTCAGATTGACACTCAGTGACGTTTCCAACGTCGCAATCGGAGACAGGGCTTGGATACAAGCGTCTCTGCCCACTAGGCATGGGGGTCTGGGGGTTCGCTCGGTGGAGACCCTGGCCTTACCATGCTACATCGCTTCTTTGACAGCAGCTACATCCCTCATCGCCTCAGTTATACCTACCATCGTGGCGAATGGCGCTACGCCCGCAGCTCTCGAACCAGCCCATGCCTCTTTCCTCGCCCGAACCGGCCTCACCACTCTTCCTGATCCATCGGTGGCCGGACGACAGAGAACATGGGATGACGCGGCGTGTACCATCATCAAGGAAAGCTTATTGAAAGACGCAAACCAAGTTCACAGGGCGCGTCTTTTAGCCTCGAGCGAGCCACATACTGGTGCATGGCTGCATGCGGTTCCCGTGCCCAGTCTAGGCTTACATTTGGACCCCGAAACAGTCAGAATTGCTATCGCTCTCCGACTCGGCGCTCCCGTTTGCGAACAACATGTCTGCCGCCTCTGTGGTGGTATTGTTGGTCACCTTGGGCACCATGCTCTATCGTGCAAGAAAAGTGCAGGCCGTTTCCCGCGCCACGCCCAGCTCAATGACCTGGTAAAGCGTAGCCTCTCCGTCGCCGGCATCCCTTCAGTTCTTGAGCCGGTAGGACTGGACCGTGGAGATGGGAGACGACCGGACGGGCTGACGACCTTTCCATTTAAATGCGGAAAGTGCTTAGCTTGGGACGCGACCTGCACGGACACATACGCCGAAAGCACAGTCGTTAACTCAGCACTAAAGCCGGGATCGGCTGCCCTGGCTGCAGAGACGCGTAAGAAGCACCGATACCTCAGCATCTCAACGCAGTACCTATTTACGCCGGTTGCAGTCGAAACATCTGGAGTTGTTGGCCCAGCCTCCACTAGCTTCATCAACGAGCTAGGTCGCTTGTTGGTAGCTGCGACCGGCGAAAGGCGTGAGACGGCTTGGCTCTGGCAGCGTGTCTCAATGGCCATCATCCGAGGCAACGCAGCTGCAGTACGAGGCTCTGCGCCACAGTCAGCGTTTGACGCCGCCACGCAAGAGCATCACATCCCAACAGGCGCTTATGTGTCGCCAAGTCACACCAGCAAGCCTCATCACACATGCTCAAGTGCGGATGCGAAGTCCATTGCAATGTGCCCACGATATTCTTTGATGTCACCAGCCTCTGAACTGACCAGCTTTGGAACAGTCTCGGCTGGCCAGCCGAAGACCGCCCCAGCAGCACCAGCGCCTCGCCAGTCAGTAGCCGGAGGCGAAGGAATCTCTAGGACTACTTCGTTCCTCATTTCGAAAACCAAAGCAGCGTCTCTCCCGGCCGGTTCTGCTGGCCTAGAAAACCTCGGGAACACCTGCTACATGAACGCCGTCCTCCAGGTTCTCGCACAAACGCAAGCGCTGGTGAAATACATGGTAGGCGAGTTTCTCTATGAAAACACGAACAAGCAGCCGCTAAGCCAAGGTCAGGTGGCGACGGAAATCTCTCAGCTGTTTGAGGTAATTTGATCGCAAAAGTTTCAATGCATATCACCTCACCGCTTTCGCAATGCAGTAAGTGCTCGTTGCAGGGACTTCGGCGGCATGGAAATGCAAGACGCGCATGAGTTTATAATCCTGCTACTTAGTTGGCTGCACGACGACTTGAATGCTGTGACTACGACTGGAGAACTGCCTCCCCGACCGCCGGCGGAAGGCCTCCCGAACATCAAGGCAGGCGAGGCGGCGTGGTGCGACTTCCAGCGGTACAACAGCTCGATAGTGACGCAACTGTTTCACGGGCTGCATAAGTCGACACTACTCTGCACCGGCTGCGGGTCCGAGTCGGTCACATTTGAAACATTCTCTCTGCTGTCGCTGCCGTTAGCGATAGGCAAAAGCAATCTGACTCAGTGTCTGGACGAGTACGTACGTGGCGACCTCATCACGGACTGGACCTGTCCAAAGTGTCAGTGTCGGTGCGACGTCCACAAGAAACTCGACCTCTGGTGGCTTCCACCCATTGTCATCCTCCACCTGAAGAGGTTCAGTTTCGCAGGCGGCACCGCGAGCAAGAACCACGCTCAGGTGACCTTCCCCCTGCGGGACCTCGACCTGAGTCGGCTGGCAGTTGGGTCGCACCCCAACACGTACAGGCTGGTCTACGACCTCTATGGCGTGGTAGAGCACCACGGCAGTCAAGATAGCGGCCACTACACAGCGTACAGCTTCAATCATCCCGCCGACAGCTGGTTCTTCATGGATGACTCTAAAGTGAGAGAGTGCTCTGCCGCAAGCGTTCGAGACGCCACCGCCTACCTTCTCTGCTACAGGGCCCGAGAGAGACACGCCCCTGAAGGAGTTTTCACTGGCGATGATGGTGCCAAGAGCACTGCCCCGGCGCACGGCGAGTGGCGAACCGCGCTGGCCGGCAGTAGCACGATACGCGCTCCCCCACCCTCGCGGTGGCGGGGCGGGACCGCCAGCAGCGCTGCCACGCGATTTGACTCGGCAGCCACGCGGACGGCTGACCTGGGACATGGTGGGGGGTAGGAGCCAGAAGGACGGAGGGGAAGTGACGCGGTGACGGTGTGTGGGGTGACGATAATATTATGTTGCGCAGCTGGATACAGCATTTCGAAAAATTGTCATAACTTTTGATCATGGATGTGAAAATATATATACCTTAGCATCCATTAGAACGTAACTGACATTTGTTACAAGTCATCAAAATTGACAAATTACATTGAAGCCTACATCTGCACCTTTGAGTTCGAAAAGCGCGATCCTACAACCCAATACAAGTAAATCAGCTAACGAGTATAATCAAAATGGCATTTAGCCCAACCACACTGATCACATTTCCTCCCTCCCGTTCTCCCCACCGCTTTGCCCGCTCACTTTTAATGATGACCGGTTTGACGAGCGGCGGCGCGCCGCTCAGGTCGCTCAGACAGTGGCACACGAACTTGATCTCTCCGTCGACCACATCGAGCGCCAGCCGCCAGTGTTTGTGTGTCTGCGCCATGTGCCGGGTGAGGCCGGCAGAGCCAGAGATCGGATAGCTGTCGCCGCAGACCGGGCACTGAACCAGACTGGAGGCCGAGTCCTGGTCCTTCTGCAGCGCCAGCGCTGCGGGACGGTGGGGGTGGGGTTAGACGGGGCGGGGTCAGTGCCAAACTGAGGTAGGGCAGACGGAATACAGAACGACTCCAAGAAAATCAACAGAAGGAAACGGTACAAAAATACGACACATGAACGATAAAAATCGTCCCAAATGAGAAACGCACTATTCAGGCTATCTGTACGGAAACTAACAAAGACAATTAAGGAACAACGATCCAATACAATTAACTAGGTCGAAAGATAATAATTATTACAACACAGCAGCCGGCAAGCATTAAACCGTTGACATGTTCAACATTGTACCGAATACAATGTTCCGCTATATTCGTATCCCCGTCCCGTTAAGCTCCCCGCTCACCGATGATATCGCGCCGGCTGACGCCGGCCTCCTTGTGCGCCAGCTGCGCGTGCAGCGCCACCGACGCCATGTTCTCGAATATGACGTCACACAGCGGACACTTTTTGACGTCACCCAGGTCGGACAGGTTGATTTTGACGTGCTTGTGCGCCGAGGCGATGTGACGACCCAGGCCGCTTGCCTGCTTGAATCTGGAATCAAAAGACATCGGTGTTGTCAGATACTGGTAGATAACACTACAAGAGTACAACGTTCCCGCTGAAACCTTGCACGCCCCACGCCTTTACTGACAGAAAATATATCTATTGGGGCTAGTGCCCCGTCTTGGTTTGCAATAAAATCAGCATAATCACGGGTGGAGAATGTTTGAAAAAGTTACCCCGGCCGGCGACCGAAAGTCAGAAAGACGATGATGCTCAAATATTTGTCAACGGTTATCAACGAACCCCTATTCTGTGGCATAGAATAATGGATGTCTGCCGTTTGTACGTTTTTAGGGAAAACTGCTGCACGCAGGTGCGGAAGATTTCGTAATTGTAACAACAATTTTGCAACACGCCTTAAAATTTCGGACGCATGTCACCTAGTGCTAGGTCAGGTCATCAGGTCAAATTTGCTGGATGATCGTGCTAAATATGCCATCATGCCCTTTGCAAAGCTTATTCCGTGGAAGTTGCAACTTTCCCACACAAAACAAAATGTCAAATTTGACCGTTTTGACCCTCTTATTGATTTGAGCTCGCACCTGAAATATTATTCGCGACCGAGCCTTAGACGAGTAATCGAATGTTTTGTTTGCAGTGTTTAAGCTCCGTTATGTTCATGAACTGTGAGAAAAGTTGTCGGAGAACGCTAAAATCAGAGAAATTTGGCTTTTGATGATCTATGGTGATTTTATTTTTGAGCTCGCCTAAAACATGACCAGATTTCTCTGATCACGTTTGTCGCTCTTTCAAACGTCGTTCCGCTTCCCGCCTCGTAGCCCAGTAGCCGAGTTAGGAGGAGCGTGAAAAGCCCACCTCTCGACTCAACGTGTTACAATAGGGCCACCACCCTGGCGCGGGTTAAGTTGGGGGAGCCTTGAGCCCCAGCAGCTCGTCCTTCTATCTCACTAATATTACCCTCGTCCTGTCTTGTGATGTTATTACAGTGCCATCTTACGATAACGGCCCTTAAATATGATTGACTTCTGTTTGATGAAACATGTCGGGCTCCGCGATGAAAAGACTTAAAAACATAGAAGCTCCAAAATGAAAATAAAGTAAATTTTCAAGAACTTTTCAAGGTAGATAAGAATAATGAGAGACGCTTTTATAGATGGCAGTTTTTTCGTATGGAGACAGCTTTTGGGATTTACAAAAGTGGAAAAAGTTACCCCGGCCGCGCCGGGGTCGACTGAAAGTTACCCCGGCCACGGCCGGGGTGGCCGGGGCAGGTTCTCCACCCATGAGCATAATTACATTAATGGCTTTCATTTAGTTATAACTGTGCAAGCCCTTCAAACTATTTCGCTTCAATCACGGACTGTTATCGGTGTGACAAAACCAAACAGTCTCTCGCCCTCCCCACCCGTCGCCCGTCCCCTGTCGCCGACTAACCGTTCGTCGCAGAGCCGGCACGCGTACGGCTGGTTGGTCGGACTGGAGCTGTCCAGGCGGCCCACGGCCAGCGGGTACGTCACCGCTCCGCCCGCGGGGACAGAGGCGGGCGAGGCCGCGGCGTCCGCCGCCGACGGTCCGGCGCCACCGGCAGGAGACGACCGACCCGTGCTCTGAGGGGAGCTCTTGGCGTCCGAGCTGCTGGGGGTGGGCAGACAGAGCGTCAGATATAGCCAGAGAGAGAGGGGATTCAGCTGACATTAATAGCGCTATTGTAGTCGGGGCGAGGTGTAACTGACATTTAAAACCGCACTCGATATTTCATCCGACACTAAACGGGGGTGACTCCGGCATACTTTCACTATCGCACACTGACCAGAATAAAACTTCAGATTCTCATAACTTCTCGAGAACAAGCTGAGCTTTCAAACACACAGGATTGTTCATACTGGTCGAAACTTTCCCAACATCTGCGTCCTACTCTTTAGTTAAGTACAACATTCGTCCCCTTCGACCCAAACCTCCTCACCCATAACACGAACAGCTTTTCAGCTCAGTCACCTAGACTCCTCAGTCTCATACCAAACATGACTTTATCCACCCAGACCCCTCTTTTCTTCACAGCTTTAAATGTCCATCTTTCTCACCTCGAATCCCAAATATTCCGTCTCTTCAATCCCGACTCACCCCTTGCTCTTGGAGATCTTGCTCTTGCCGAGCATGTTGGTGATGGCCCGGTCGAACAGACCACCCAGCGCAGAGGTCATCTGCGATTTGAGCCCGCTCCGGTCGGCACCCGGCTGGGGGCGTCGGATGTGCTGCCGCGCGATGTGTAAGTTCAGGTGCAGCGGGTCACGAATCAGCTCACCGCACACGAAACACGCCTGGTTCCGCTGGCTGGCCGGGATAATCTGCCGGAGTGGAAAGTTGGGTTAAAAAAACGTTACATTGAGCCAGTATAGGAAAGTAGCATTAAAGTAACAACAGTGCAACGCAAGCAGATGACTAGGAAATCGTAGCAGAAGTTTGTCGTAACTTAGTCAACAGAACAGAATAGTCCTGAAAGAATGGTCCCTGCCGACAAGTTAAAAAAGGCCACAAGGTGGCCTTTTAGTTTTTTATCGTCCATTGATAAATTGCCTACACTGCAACCATTATGCAAAGCAGGCAGATAAATCGAGCAGCCCATCCTAATCCGTTCCGACACCCAACTCACCTGAATGGGCACAAGGTGTTCGATTTTGCGCGCCACTTTGCCCTGCGATGCGCGGTGCTGCCACATGAGGTGCTGGCGGACGGAGGCGCGGCCGCGGAACCGCCGGTCACAGATCGGGCACTCGAACTCGCCTCCAATGTCCTCCTCCCGTCGCCGCTCGGCTGCCGTCGTCGCGTCCGACGCCGCCGCCACGGCCGCTGCCGGCGGGGGCGGCGGCGGCGGCGGCAGCGCGGACGGCGCGGGCGGCGGCGGCGGCGGCGGCGGAGGCAGCTGTCCGTCTGCCGAGCCGCTGTCGTAGACGAGCTCGGCCTTGTTGCAGGAGCCGAGTTGTTCGAGCATGGTCATCTCCTCGTCGGTGATACCTGGCGAGGGTCCGCTGGTGAGACACGGGCAGACGACGCCGGTCAGACGGAGCGCGCGCCGCCGGCCGCCCCCGCCCCCGCCCAGACAGCGGGCGGCGGCGGGCAGCGGGCAGACACCAGACCGCAGACTCCAGAGAACGAGACAGATCAGGGACCGGGCACGAAGCACATGCTGCCTTTGAGGCCGACTATCGTCTAACATGCGATGCATCAGCTAATGGGGGGTCGTGCTGGGAACGTGTTATCTCAGAAAACCGACACAGACTTTGAGTAAACAGATCGTCCAAAGAAGCCGCCAGAATATCCCCCCCCCCCCCCACAGTACGACACTTGACAGCCATTCCAAGAAAGCAAAACAGAATGATAAGGCAAACTGTGACAAAGAGGAAACATTGCGTACAGTGTTTAAAGAGAAAATGCCGGGGAAAATGCATTTTAGGAGAAAATACCGGGGAAAAGATCAGGAAAAATGCGGAAACCAATCCAGCACAACCATTACCTCCTTCCACAGTAGCACATTATGAATCTCTTGAACAAGTCTTTCATGCCCAGACTCTGAAGCCACCACAATCCCTCACTCACCCATGGCCTGCTGCAGTGCCGGCTCCATGGTAAAATCCGTCGGCCCGGCGGCGGGAAAACCCTCCCGGGTATCGGCGGCGCCCAGAGAGGCGGCCGACGAGGTCACACTCAAGTTACTGTTGTCGTCATCCAGCACAGAGTTCACAGTGCTCATGATGTAGCCCAGTCCTGTGGACAGGTGGGGAACGTTTTGTCATGAGATGACATGGTTTGACGCAGCTGGGTAGACAATTTGACGAGATATTCACATTATCAACGAAGGATACGAATTTGATTTTGCAATCCAGTCATATTCACTCCTGTCAGTCATACGGATCCTTCGCCAAATACATCTGAAGCTGAATCGTACGCCCGAAGGCCTTGTGTAGCAGCAATGTATCCCAGCATAATAACCCCGCCCCTCCCATCCGTCCCCTTTCTCCTCACCTGACGAGCTGGCCTGTTCGGCCATCAGAGTCCGCACCGGCGGCAGGGGCGCAGAGTCGGCCGGCGGCGGCGGACCGCACAGGAACTCCTCACCCGCCCCGGGCGGCGGCGGCGGCGGGTAGTCGTAGTAGTCCACCGGCAGCTCGGGCGCGGGTGGCGGCGGCGGTGGCGGGGGCGCCTCGGGCTGCGGCGCCGGCAGCGCCAGCCCCGCCCCGCCGCCGCCGCTCGCGCCGCCGTCCTGGCCCTGGTTGAAGTTGTTCCGCATGGTCTCTATGACGCTGGCCGGCCGCGGGCTGCGGTTGCGCTGCGGCGGACAGTGGGGCCGGCGCGGACTGCGCGGGGCGCCCAGCTCCTCTCCGGCCGCCGCCGGGACCGCCCGGTGACCGTCCTCGGCGCCCCAGAGCCGCTTGTCGGCGGCGCGCGCGCCGAACCCGAACAGGCCCTCGCGCTCCATGCTCTGGACGATGTGCGTGTCGCGCCGGCAGCGGCCCTGCACCTCGCGCAGGAAGCGCAGCACGTCGTCGTTGCGCATCAGCTCGTCGAGCCCGAGCAGCACGGCGTCCATGTTGTCCTCGCCGTTGTCTCGGTCCCGTCCGACAGCCATCGCCTTCACCCGCTGCAGCAGCCGCACGCGCAGGTACCGCTTCTTGTCCATCTAAAGGCGGGCGGAAGAACGGGAAAAATAGGGAGATGTCAGAAATAAATAATTCAATTGAAAAGCAATGCTGCATTTTTTTCCTCCTCCACCATCAAAACTCATTTTAACCAAAACCTATGCTGGAATTCACGAGTGCACTACAAGTTGAAAAAAGAAGAAAATCAAAGCAGTGCGTAAGGCCCACTTAACGATTGAAACTCCTTCCACAGAAATCAACAGCTCAATCACCCACCCCTCCTCACTATATTTGCCCATCCCCGACACCCACCTCGTGCTCCCACTCGGTGTCCCGGTCGCAGAGGCAGCCGATAAACTTGTCCACAATCCTCCAGATGAGCTGGATCTGCTCCAGACTGGCATCCGTCGCCTCAACGCTCGACTTCATCTCTGACAGCGAAGCCGCCAGGAACTCCCGCTTCAGATTGTGGAGCAGGCTGAACAGACTCTCCTTCTTGCTGATCCGCTCCTCTCGAGGCCGCTGGACGGGCTCACAGCCGCCGCGACTTTTGTGCGCCGTCAGCCGCGCTGCAGATAAGAAATGTCTCTGACACCGGCTGCACTGGAAGGCAGCCGGAGCGGCGCCGGCCGGCGGCGGCTTGGGCGGGCCGGCGGCAGCGGGAGACGTCATCTCGCGGCGGGGCGGCCGCGCGGTCTCGGCGGCCTGCGGAGGCTCCTGGCCCGGCTCGGCGGCTCGGGACGAGGTCACGGGGTCGGTGGAGGAGACGGGCTCGTCGGCGGGGCACGGAGCCGTCTCGGCCGGGAGGTCGCCGTCCGTGGACGAGGTGACCTCCTGGGCTCCCGGGGACAGCTGCTCCGCGGCCGGGACCGACACCGGCGCCGGCACTGGGGCTGGGACGGCAGCAGGAGCCGCGGCCGGCATCTCCTGTTCAATCTCATTCCCATCAGACATCTCCTGTTTAATCTCCTTCCCATCAGCCGTCTGGACGTTGGCCGTCTCACTCGGTGTCTGTTCTGCCGGCGCCGCCAGGGCAGGCGGCGCCGGGACCGGTGCCGCCATTGCCGGAGGAGCCAGGGTGGGCGGCGCCAGAGCCGGCGGGGTCAGAGCTGGCAGTTCCAGCTGTCTCTCCTCCTTCAGGGTCGGAGGCTCCAGAGGCGGAGGCTCCCGAAGCGGCGGTGACGGCTCCTTCAGCGTCGGCGGTTCCCGCGGCGAGAGATCCTTCAAAGACAGAGGCTCGTCCGCGGGAGGCTCCACAGTGAGAGGTTCAGTCAGTGGTTTGGGTGATGGCTTCGGCAGTTTTTGCGAGTCCTTCGGTGATTTGGGTGATTTCGGTGACCCTTTCGGCGACTTTTGAGCGTCCTTGGGTGATTTAGGTGCTTCCTTAGGGGATTTCGGTGACTTGGGTGATTTTGGCGACTCCTTAGGTGACTTCTGGGTCTCCTTTTCCGGCTTCTGAGCGTCTTTCGCCGCCTTCTTTCCCTTCGGTGGCTTCCCTGGCTCTTTCGTGGCCTTGTCAGTCTCTGTCGCCGACTTGGTCGCTCCTTTCGCAGTCTTCTTCGTGTCTTTTTGCGCCTTCTTTGACCCCTTCGCCGACTTCTGCGGCTTCTCTGCCGCCTTCCGCGTCTCTCCCTCCGTCCCCTGCTGCTCCTTCGCTGCCTCCTTGGTCTCCTGCGCGTCCGCCTGCGACTCTCCGACCGGTGTCCGGGCGCCCTCCGCCTCCCGGCAGCCGTCCACGTGCCGCTGCAGCTCGTCAGAGCTCGCCTGCGGTTTGGCGCAGAACGGACACTCGAGCTCGCTCTCCGCCTGACTGGCGGCGTCCATCAGCGAGCGCAGGCTGAAGTCGGCCAGATCGCAGCACTTCTGAATGTGCCGCTCCAGCGTAGAGAGACGGTACAGCTTCTGGCAGCACTTCTTGCACGTGTACACGGTCCGAGTGCGGCCGGTGGTGAGGGAGACTGTGAACATGTCGTCTCCAGCCTCCCGGGCGGCGCCCGAGGTCCCCAGATCACTCCCAGCACGGGACTCGGCGCTCAGACGGCGGCTGCGCTTCCGGCCGTCACCGGTGTCACCGGAAGGCGCCCGCTTCCGGCTGCGTTCCGTCACTTCCGGTGACGCCGGTCGTGATGAGCGTGTCTCCATGGCGTCTGCTGCGGCCGGAGTGGACGGTGTCTCTGCGTCCGCCGGGGGCGCCATTGAGTAAGCGGTTTCCACGGTCGGCTCGTCTTTCGGAGTTTCGGAAGATGGTGCGGCTGCCACGTCCTGTTTTGCCTTCTTGGTGGAACCTTTCTTGGTCGTCAATCGGTTACGCTTTGCGGGAGTCTTCTTAGGTGGAGCTTCCGTGTCGGTTTCTTTCGCATCGCCCGGTGTTGTCGCAGCCTGAGCGGATTCTGTCTTTTCTTTGGCAGCAGCCTTCGATTTGCCCTTCTTCTGGGGAGTATTGGCGTCTTTTGCCCCTGGGGTAGATTCGTCCTTTTCTGTGGCTGCTTTCTCAGAATCATCTTTGTCTTTCTTCGCCTTCTTGGCTTTACCACCCTGAGGCGATTTATCAGCAGCCTTCTTCTTGCTCCGTACCGGAGTGCCTGCTGGCTTCTTGGCCGCGGCCGCCGTTTTAGCGGGCATTTTAGCAGCTTCTTGCGAGGTCTCAGCCTCGTCTTGCACTTCCTCGGAGGCTTGAGGCTCCTTCTTCACTTCCTCTCCCTCCTTGACATCTTTCTGAGCCGCGGTCGCTGCCTTCCCAGCTGCCTTGCCCTTGCCAGGAGTTTGCTTGGTACGCACCTTCGCTGGCGGCCCCGCCGGCTCCTCGCCCTTCCGTTTGGCAGTTTTGGCTGCGGCCGCTCCCTCGGGCTGCACGCGGCGCCCCTTTTTGGCCGCCCCCGGCGTCTGTGCGGGCGCCGCAGAGGCCACGGAGCTGACAGACGGCGCCGGACTGCTGCGCCGGGACCGCGGCACGGAGGGTGAGGGGCTCGGCGCCGGGCGCTTGGGTCGGCCGGCGCCGCGGCCGGTCCGCCCCGCGCCCGGCGCCGAGCGGGTGACCCGACCCGCCGCGGCGCGGCCCACCGACTGGGACCGTGCTGCAGCACCGCTCCGGTCCCGAGCGGCGGGCCGGGGCAGACTGGCGCTCCGCTGAGCGCTCTTAGCCTTCGCCCCAGCCGCCGCCGTCGTTTTAGCACCAGGCTTGGAATCAGTCTTTGCACCAGCTTTGCCACCGGATTTCGGGTCTGCCTTAGCTGGAGTCTTCTTCGCCGGTGTGTTTGCTTTTTTGCTCTTTGATTTGGTCGGAGTTGATTTTTTAGGTTTCTGCTCGTCGGCCGCTCCATCGGTTGACGGAACCGACGAGACAGCGACTGCATTGGCAGCGTCTGTATCGACGCTCGTCGCCTCCGCCGCCGTGTCCTCACCGTTCAGCTTGCCTTCACTAGCACTGAGATCAGAAGGCGTCGTTCCCTGAGTAGTTGGCTCGGCGGCACCACTATCCGCCGACCCATCATCCACTGTCACTTTCACAGCGTCCGGCGCCGGCGCCTCGACCGTCCCGGCGTCATCAGCGTCCGTCACCAGCGCGGCGGCCGCCGCTGCCGCCGCCGCCGCGGTCACAGCCGTCACCGCCACATCGTCCGACGACTCGACACTGTCCGCAGTGGAGCTGGCGTCCACGGACGGCGGCGCGGCCGGCTCCGTCTCACCCTCCACCTTCACAGTCACTGGCGCTCCCTCAGAGTTAGTCTCTCCCTGCTCTGCCTCTACGACAGTATCCACAGACTCTGACGGCGGTGAAGGCTGCGCTGAGTCGGCAGTCGCCGGGTCCTCGCCCTCCGCCGCCCGGTCGGCGTCCGTCTGCGAGCCGCTCTCCCTGGGCGAGGCCGCCGCGCTCGGCAGCTCCGAGGGCGGCTCAGAGTCGGTCGGCAGCTCCGCCGAGGTCACTGACGTCGGCGTCGAGTCCGTGTCCGTCTCCAGAACCGGACTGGAGCGCCGGCTGCGCCGCGACCGTCCGCCGCCGCGCGACCCGCCCGCCGACTCCGGCGGGGGCGGCGGCGGCGGCGGCGGCGGCTCCTCGACCGAGGCGGCCAGGCGTCGCGAGGTGCGCACCGACAGGCCGCTAGGACCGGCCACCGCCTCCGGCTCACCACCGGAGAACGGCTGCTTCTGCTGGCGCTTCTGCAGCTGCACCAGGTTCAGCATGGGGAACAGCTGCTTGGAGACCCGCTTGGCCGGCAGGTTGGCCAGCATCTTCTCGATGGTGTCGGCCGTGGTGTCTGAAACAGAGAAACAGAGAGCGGTTATGTCACAAGGGGTCGGAAAATGTTTGAGCAGACCGTGGGGTGATGCCTGATAGGGAGACACAAAACCGTCACAAATGTCTGAATGCATGCCAACAAACAACATACGCGAGTGATATGTAGCACGCGACTGAGCATGTCATACATGGTGAGATGACATTAAGGGAATTATTTGACGTTTAGTGAGAGTATTTATCTACATGCAAGGGTGAAAATACTAGTCAAAACATGATTTATTACTCAAGTCTATTACGGATTTTCAGATTGGAAACGAGTCTACGCTCGCAGGGTTTGTTTGCTACGGTTCTACCATGTGGCCCACCAGACAAAAAAAAAATCATTGTTCGCTATGATAACAGACTTTCCCATCCCAAAAGTGTCAACGTGCAAAACAAACTTCACTACACTCTCTCGCTACATGCATCGCTTCTCAACGGAAAGACTCAGAGCACTTAGCTCGACTCAACTAACCAATACTTGCCAGTTCAGCTAATCGACTGAGAAAGAAACATCCACCAACTAAATTACAATTCAAACTATTCGACTGACAAAACAAATAAAAAGGAAACTCGGCTCTACACGGTTTAACCAACGCATTCATTCTGTAGAAGCTACTGAGCTTACGCATTGTGATGCAGTCTCCAAACCTGTGCCGCAAAAGAGCTGGGCAAAGAGCAACAGAAAAAGAAAGAGCGGGGAGCCATGGAGAGAGGGTGGGAGAAAGGCAGAGCTTGGAGGAGGCACACTGTACTCACTGCTGCGAAGCCGCATCGAGAACGCTGCAAAGTCCGGATATTCTCAGTCAAACTATCCAAATGTGTACGGCTGGGTGAGCCCAGGTACGGGTGGGCCTACTCTGGCCTAGTGTGTGTGTACATTAGAGGTGGCAAAAGATGAAAATTTTGGGAACCAGACTCAAACCAGACCCGGCTGGACATTTCTGGGACCAGTCGGACCCGGCCTTAGTTGGAATCGGAACCAGTTGGACCCGGTTCCGCAAAAGACAATTAATACAAACTACTTGTAGGTATCATTATTTGCATCATGTAAAGCAGCCTATTTCCCACTGGGAATACTCATGAGCTACTGTGTGCCAAGAAACATTCGCTTCATTCGCTTCATATTTTGCAATAATGTGTAGTGTGCAAGATGTACAGTTTATGGTAGGACCCGGTTGGACTCGTCAGAAAATTTTCAGGAACCGGTCTGGACCCATATGGGTCCAGACTGGTTCTTTGGACCGGGTCCACGGGTCCACATTTTGCCACCTCTAGTGTACATCGTGGTGTAACGATCAATGGATTGCAGCATGCAGTGCTTCTATGTGGTACCGTACATGATTAAATTAGTAAGGTAACTTACCTTGATGGTGTTAGCCAGCAAAAAGCGGTCAAGTGCACAAGCATCATTCATTCATTCGCTCAGATATTGTCATCAGATGCACGCCACTCGCCCCTTATCTGCTCCATATCATCACATGACCACATCCTTCTTTCTCAATGTCTTCATTCACAGCACACGCCCATTAACCCGCGCCCGGCTGGGGGTCCTGGATTTCCACGCCCTGCTGGGGGGGGGGGGTGTCTGAACACCCCCCCCTTCTAACTCGGCTCCTGGGCCACGTAGCGATACGCAGAAGGCGGCGTTCGAAAGAGCGTCAAAAATAATGACGAAATCACTTCAGTCAATTTTTTGGTCAGGTCAAAGGTCAGGTCACCAGAGGTCATTGAAGGCAAAATTTCGCCGATTTCCAGGTCGAATGTCGACAATTTCCAAGATGCCAACGCATAACTCGGGAACCAATAGAGCTACAGCGCCGCGGAAAAGCGCATTCGATAGCCCTATTAACGCCCTTTCTGAGAATTCCTCTCAGATTTGACCTAACGTCAACAGTTTTGCCTGCAGGGGGCAAAAACTGCAAAAATAGCCGATTTTTTCGGAAACAGTTTTTCTGCAATAACTTTTGACCCAAGCCTTGCACGAGCTTACTTTTACCGGCATCGTGTTCCTCTCGTCAAGACGCATCGAATGAACTACAACTTGACCTTAAAAGGTCAACTTGAAAATTTGACCTCAGGTCAAGGTCATGACCTGACCTGAAAGGGTCATGTTGCATATCAGTCGATCCGTATCGTCGAGCTGAACACATCTAATGCGTTTTCATCGCTCTAGCATGCCTCTATCAAAAGTTATTTGCGAAAAACTGTTAGATACCATTCGTGACAATGGTATCTAACAGACACTTCAAGTTTTAAGATGACCTCAGGGCATAAACAGGGGTCACGGACACCATTTTCATGTTCAGTGTGTCTAAACTACTTGTAATTCAGTGTTTGGGAGTGTTTATAATGTCTTTCGTCCAAAGGAGGCGCATTTCAATTTTCTCCCATTGACTTATAATGGGGAGGTCGCAAAATTGACCTGACCTTAGGTCATCGATATCAAAACTCTGAGATATACATTTTGTACGTGCTATTGCTCTTAGCAATCGCTGAAAGTTTTAAAGCGATCGGTCACTCGGTGTAGCTATGACAGACATTGAAACTTTTTATGAGGTGAGGTCACTTCAAGTGACCTGGTGACCTGGCCTTGAATGACCTTGGTCTGAAATTTTCATAACATGTGTAGAATTAATGTATGATAAGGTGTACCAAAAACGGCGGCGCTCCGCGCCGCCGTTTTTGAGATATTCGCGAAAAACCACAAGGGGGGGTGTTCAAACACCCCCCCAGCAGGGCGCGGGTTAATCCGAAACAGCCAGACTGGCTCAGACCCCTCCACGCTCACGCAAACAGATGATGCTCACACAGCCCACATCTCGCCCCACGCCCATACACACAGGTCACAACCCTCAGCTCACCCCATTCATCCTGTTCAACTCACCTCTGTTCTGTTTGGGTTTGGGCTGTTTCTCCCGCTTGGGTCGGCTCGGCGTCGTCAGGATCCGCTTCATTCCGCGCCGGCTCTGGAACCGGCGTCGGCGACGCGCGCCGAAACCGCGCCACTTGCGCTTCCTCGGCGTGGTCCACGTGTTCCAGTCCGCGTCGCCGGCGCACTCGAGGATGTGCCGGTGCAGCTCGGGCAGCGAGTTGCAGTTGCGGCCGCACGTGACACACTCGACGGGGAAGTCGAGGTTGTCCCGCTCGGCCGACACGCCGCTGACATACTGCCCGAACACGCTCTCGGAGAGGAGCTCCAGGTCGTCCGGTAGACTGGTGTGACCGCACAGCACGTGCGGGTGACGGTATGCCTTGTGGTCGTCCAGTTCGTACAGACTACCGAACACCGCACCGCAGGCGTGGCAGACGAAACACATGAGACGCTCCCACTCCCCAGTGAGACTCTCCTGTTCGTCCGGCTCGCCTCCGACCGCTCCCTCAGACTCCGGGGCTCCCTCAGTCTCCGGGGCTCCCTCAGTCTCCGGGGCTCCCTCAGACTCCGGGGCTCCCTCAGTCTCCGGGGCTCCCTCAGTCTCCGGGGCTCCCTCAGTGTCCGGGGCTCCCTCTGTCTCCATGTTTTCTGTGACTGTCTCCGGTGTGTCTGCTGGTGGAGTCGGCACTGTAGGTTTCTCCTCCCCGCTCTCCTCTGCCGCCGGTTTCGTCTCGTCGCCGTCCGGCTCGCCCCCCGCTGCCGGCGCGGGCGCAGTAGCCGCTGTTGGGGGCGGCGCAGACTTCTGCATGATCCGCTCTCGCATGGCGCGGTAGCAGGCGGCCGCCGGCGGCAGTTCGAGTGGCTCCTGTTTCACCACCATCGGCGGCGGCTGTGGAGCCGCCGGGAACAGACCGAGCGCGGCCAGCACGGGGTCGGCCGGCGGCGGCGGCGCGGCCGGAGCGGTGCCCGCCCGGCGGCCCCACAGGCCTGACGCCACGTCCAGACAGCGGGCGGCGCCGGCCTGCTCGGTGTCCGGAGCCATCTCGGCATCCCCGACGGAGCGGCGGCGCGGCGGCTGGTGGCGCAGCACCTCCTCCGTGCCGTCCAGGTAGTTGGTGAGGTTGTCGGCCACGTTCTCCCGCACGCCGGCGTAGAAGAGCGACTCGTCGGCGGCACGCTGCCGTTCCACCTCGCCCTCGCCCTGCTCGCGGTGGCGGGCCACCAGCGCGTGCTCCTTCACGGGCACGGGCTTATGCGGGTGCGCCATCCGCATGTGACAGCACATGCGTTTGTAGGTGGGGAAGCTTTTGTCACACACGTTGCAGGGGTACATGCAGCGCTCACCGACAGGTTTATCCTCGAGACGCTCCAGCGCCTCCAGGTCGTCCGACTCGAGACTGATGGTTCCGTTGCTCGTTTTAGCGACCTCCTTGCACGCCTCCTGGAACTTCTTCAGCTGCTGCAGGTTCCCGATACCAACGCTGATCTTGACACCGCCAAAGTTGATTTTGGCGATCGTCTGACCCGAGCCCGCCTCCGCCGGTCGCGCCTCACGGCTGTGGATCTTTTCGTGTCGCTTCTTGACGGACTCACACGGGAACACCTGATCGCAGAATTTGCACGCGAACGAGCTACACGCGTGCACCTCACGGTGCTTCTCCAGGTCCCGCTTAGTCGCGAATGTCTCATCACACTTGTCACATTCTAGCCGTTTTCCGATCGGCGCCTCGCGCGTCTTGCCCGTGTGAGCGGCCGCGTGGTGTTCAACCACAGCTGGTAGGGAGTCATACAGCGAACGGCACGGGTAGCAGCAGTAGAGATACGGCCGCCGCGAGCCCACGGCCAGCTCTGTGGCCTCCTTGAAGCCGCTGGTGTCTGCGAGGGCCGTCAGCTCGGCGCTGGCCATGTCGCTCTCGTGGATGTACTTGTGGTTGATGTGTGTGCGGTAGTAGTGCCGTTTGAGACTATGCAGCCGTTGGTAGCTGGTCTGACAGATATCACAGACGAACTTGGGCCGGCCGTCCTCTCCGTTGCGGATGTGAACCGCCTCGTCCACCTCGAAGCTGTAAAACGACTCGCTCTTCTTGGGCCGCGCCTGCGGGGAGGCCTGCTGCGGCGGAGGGGATCCGGCCGCGGCGGACGGCGCCGGCGGCAGCGCCAGCAGCGCCGGCGGACCCGTGATGGCCTTGGTCGGCGAGCCCAGCCGGCCGGCCTGCACCGAGTACCCTTCGTCCTTGTTCTTGGTGATCCGCAGCGGGGGAATCTTCGGCATTGGGCTGATCTGAGAGCCGTCGGTGGCGGCCGATACCGACACGGAACCGCCCTCCTCGCGGCGGTGCTGCTTGTCTTTCTTCTTCTTGAAGAGACTCGGGCTGCTCGAGCGTGAGTCCTCAGAGGAGGTTCTCAGCCGACCAGAGGTCGACGACTTCTTGTCGGACGAGTGAGATTTCTTGTCAGATTTGTGTTTGGAGCTAGACTTGCTCCCGTCTTTGGATTTGCTCGACGACTTGTGAGGCGTTGAAGTCTCTGTACCCACACTGCTATTTGAAATGCCTGAGCTACTCGACTTCACCTCACTTGGTTTCTTCGTCTTAGAGTCACTCTTTTGCGGTGTAGCAGCCTTGTCGTCGACTGCTTTCGTCACTTTTACCGGCGACACATCACTAGCCTGTTTGGCTAAAACGCCACTAGAGGATTGGTCCTGACTCGCAGGAGGGGGTTCTACACTTATTGTGGGAGGTGCGGGCATCTCCTCCACTGGCCGCTTTGGAGTCGGCTGAGTCAGTTTTGTCTCCTTGCTCGGAGGAGCCACACCGTCCACAGGCGGCGCCAACCGCGACTCGGAATTGGGCCGGGCAGTCGCCAGTCCGTCTGCCTTCTTAGCCACATCACCAACCTTCTTCAAATCGGGTAACTTCTTTACCGCCCCCTCTCCGACCTTCTTGACCGCGCCCTCCCCCAGTTTCTTCCCAGTCACCTCAGCACCTGCCTTCTTGGCTCCTGACTCTCCCGGGCCGGAGGCCGCGTCCAGCGGCGTTCTCTGCCGGTTGGCCAGCGTCTCGATCGGACCGGAGACGGGCGGTCCCTCTGGTCGCCACGTGCGGGCCACCTCCACAGTCGTACACGGCGGCACGGGCACCCCGGGCTGCAGCGGGTGCAGCGGCGGCGGCGGCGCGGACGACCGGGCCGGCGCCGCGCCCGCGCCCGCTCCGCCCGCCCGCGGCTCGGCCGGCCGGATCGGGTGCAGTTTCGGCGGCGGCGGTCGTTTGCGTCCCGACTTGGTCGCCTTGGTAACCAGTGTGATCTGCAGCTCCTTCGGCAGCTGGATGCCCATGGCGTGCGATACCTGGTCGGCGGTGGAGCGAGCCTCGGCCTCGGCCGCCTCCGCCTCGAACGAGGCCATCTCGAGCGCCTCTAGCTCCGCCATCTCACGCATCTCCGCCTCCAGATCCTGCGCCGGGCCGGCCGACGAGCCGGCAGAGGACGGCGGTTTGGGCGGCGGCGGCGGCGACGGGGGCGGCGGCGGCAGCGGCGTCGTCGTTTTCGACGAGTGTGCCGGCGCCGGTGTGGGCGGCCGACGGCTGTGAGCCGGCATGCGCGGGCCGAACGACGACGGCGGCAGCTGGGACGACTGCGCGTGCGCCGGCGGCGGCGGCCGAGGGAAGAACATCTGTGGACAGGGCAGGCGGGGGCGAGTCACACGAGGCCCGTGTGACGATCGGAGACGGCGCTAGAACAGCGGTCAATTACGTTAAGTTGCCACTCATGATAGGAATTTGAAAACAGCTTCAATATTCAAATTTACCATAACTTATCCTACGAGAAACTGTAACTATAAATTATATTGTAAGAGCCACACGTCATTTGTAGTCAGAGTCATCATACTAAACCGTAGCTATTGAGGCCTTACTTCTCTCACACAATACAATCAGCATAAACAGATGCGTCTTACTCACCGGTCCTCCGAAGGGCATTCTGGGGAATCTGGCCGCGGCGGCGGCCGGCAGCGGAGGGAACCCGGCGGCCGCTGCCGCCGCCAGCAGTGCCGCCGGGAAGCCGGCCGCCCCGGGCGCGCCCGCCCCCGGCGGAAAGCCGCCCATGGCCGCCACGGCCGCCGCCGCCGCTGCCGAGGTGGGCGGGAAGCCCAGCGCGCCGCTGGAGACGGGCGGGAAGCCGCCGAGCGCGGCCGCCGCCGCCGCAGCCGCCGCCGGCGAGAAGCCGAGCGCCGCGGCGGCGGCGGCGGCCGACACGGGCGGGAAGGCGATGCCGCCGGCGGGTGACGGGCCGCCGGCGGAGGACGAGGTGGGCGGCGGCAGCCAGCCGAGCGGCGGCATCCCAGGGAACGGCAGGAACGGCACCGGCGGCGCCTGGCGCGGCGGCGGCGTGCGCCGGCCCGACCGGTCCATCTTGTGTGCGTGGTGCGGCATCGGCGCGGCCGCCTCTGGAACGCAGAGAGGGGTCAGGTTAGAGGTGGGAGCGGAGTTTCGAAGGACGACAGAGGTAGCGGGTAGCCGCATCACGTCACGCGCGGGACCTGTGAGGGGCTGCGGCAAGTTGACTTATTCAAGCGGCGCACCCAGGCGTCAAAGCATAAGAGTGCAGAAAGATTTGCAGTCACCTGCTAAAGGTTAACTGCATTGAAGCTACCTGCTAATACACCGTCAATATACATGAAATGCAAGGTGTGTGAAGATAACATGCGGCCTCCATGCAGTCGTCTTTCTTCACGCTACGCTCGCCTGAACAAGCTGAAAGCCGAAATCCGTTTTTACATCCGCTGTATCAAAACACGCCTTTTTGGCAACGTCCCAGTATAGGCGCTTGCACCTCTTATGTCCTTGTAGTTGCAACGCGAAACAAAAAAATCGTTGGATATGTTACTTTCTGTCCAAAACTTCATGAACGCGTTGTGACAACAAAACCACTAAACAACTGATCGCCATTCGTAGGCGAATTATAGCCGCGGAATGATGGGAAATTATCACACGGCCGGGGGCACATCCGAAGTGCGCAGAGAGCAGCAAAAACTGCGGCAAAACCGTCGTCGTTCGGAGGGACAGATGGTCGTTTCCTCCCGGCACGGATCGGGGACTCTGGGGTACGCACCGTCTGCGGAAAGAGGAATGACAGCTCTGCCGGGGGAGGGGGTGGGTTAGGCTGAGGGAAACCACGGCAGGCGCCGCGTGAATTGGTGCAAGACGATATGCAAAATGCTAGTAGAAGCTGCCTTCCGTGGAAACAACAGTATCGACAGATCATGCTACTTTGACAGTCTAAATAAAAACTTTAGCATCGCTTTACCTTCGAGCTCGTATGAGCGACCTTCAACATCTCGTAAATTAAATTAAACCGTAAACGCCTATCAGCCTCGCTCTACACGCCATACCGTATAAAACACAAACACACGCGGCTGGTCATGACGGCACGGAGGAAGCGGGCAACAAGCCGGTCTTGCTAACAACAAAGGGCCCAGACCGTGAATCACATCAGGAAACCGGCGGCGCTCGTCGCAGCGTGTGTAACTCGGAGTGAACACTGTACCGGGCCGACGGCCGGCGAATGACGACGATCAATAAGGGCGAGGAGACTGCCTCGGCCTGTCCGGATGGCGTAAATACGTGAGACCGTTCCGATTTCACGCATGCCTCGCCACCGGACAGACCTTTGCCTTATAGGTAACGTGTGTGAACTATGTTAACTCGTGAAAAATCGCACATTTCGTCACTCAGTGCCGGTACACTGAGCCGGGCGAATTAACAACCGCCAAACAATGGCTCGGAATGACAACAAACACCTGCTTGACGACTCTCTGGTGCTGGTTTGACCGTCCCAGGAAGCGTCTGAGGAGGCCCAGTGCCGGCTGATTTAGGCAGCATCCACCCTCGACCGCTGCATGCCAAGTACGCATAGGCACAGCGCGGCCATATTCTGGCCATGACGGCCTCCGTGAGCGGGTATAGAACCAGGCCAGGCCCCGGCAGACAGGCGAAGGAACAGAGCCGACCCGGCTCAGCCTAAGTCAACCAGGTCCACCCAACCCGACCAGACCCGTGCGTAACTTACCCAACTCTGAGCGACCCAGCCCAAACTGACCCCGACCCCGACCTGACCCGACTCTACCAGACTTGGAACCGACTTGACCCGACCCAACTCTACCCTACGATCCTGACCCGACTCTACCAGGCTCCGAACCGGCCTGACCCTGATCCGGTCCTTTCCAGCCTGGGGGTCTGGCTCACGGCGGACGGAGAATGCGCTTAGCGGGTTTGGTAACTGGCTGGTATACGCGGCGTCGAGTGCACCCCATCTCTCGCATTGTCTCGCCATTCCAAACGACGCTGCCGCCGCGAGTGGCGCAAGTGGTTTCGACAAGGCTTGGGACGGGAATATTCATTCGTTATTAAAACGAGGCCCGGCCGGGTCATTGTCGTATAGAGGATTAGCATGTTCAAGGGACTCCATCCAGTCACTGGCGGATCCTGGGGGGGGTCCACGGGGTCATGACCCCCCCCAAAAGGTCTGAGAGGGTCATTTGACCCCCCCCAAAAGCCGAAGACCTAAATGCGCTATAGACGCCGTCTTGCATGCTCAAAATCACCTGTCAAACACTTCTGAGCTAATACCTTTGTTTTTCTGGATCGTGTTGCGTGAAAAGGCGTATTGAAGACCAGAATCTTACTCGTTTTTGTCTCAACCGTGCGAGCACCAGGGGATGATCCAGGAAAACTCCAAGGGGATGGTCATGAATTTAATTCGTGGTGCCCCTACCTATACGCAAAATTAAAAACTCAACGGATTTCGGTCACTTAATTTTGGTGATGTCCTATTTTCATTTTTTATTTTGTTTGTTTTATTTTTAGTGCCCCTGGGCCCTGGCAGGTCAAAATCACGTCTGAGGCGAAAGAAATTCACGGGAATCCCAAAAATCACGTCAGGACATTCAGGGCCCTCTGACCAGCCTGACAGCTAGGGCCCTTCTTACTTCCTGGGGCCTCCAGTGAATAACCGCTAGTGTCTGTGTCTGACCGCTAGGGCCCCTCTGACTCCTCAGTAGGTAGGAGGCCCTCTGTAGAGGAGGTCCTCTGTAGAAAGGAGGCCCTCAGTAGAGAGGAGGCCCCCTGTAGAGAGGAGACCCCTTTAAAGAGGAGGCCCTCTGTAGAGAGGAGACCTGCTGTAGAGAGAAGGCTCTATGTAGAGAGGAGGCCCTGTGTAGAGAGGAGGCCCTCTGTGGAAAGGAGACCGCCTGAATGCAGAAGGCCCTCTGAAGAGTGGAGACCCGCTGTAGAGAAGAGGCCCTCTGAAGAAAGGAGGCCCTCTGTAGAGAAGAGGCCCTCTGAAGAGAGGAGGCCCTTTGCAGAGATGAGGTCCTCTGGCTCTTTGAAGAGAGGAGGCCCTCTGTAAAGGAGGCCCTCTTAAAGGGAGAGACCCTCAGTAGAGAGGAAGCCCTCTGTAGAGAGGAGGCCCTGTAGCTTCTGTAGTTAAGAGGCCCTGTGAAAAGAGGAGGCCCGCAGTAGAGATCGGTGGTCCTCTGTAGAGAGGAGGCCCCCTCTGTGTTTTGACAAATGTTTTTGCAAATTTTTCGCGGCGCTTCGCGCCGCCGATTTATGTACATACGTACAGGTCAATACGAAATCTTGACTGTAATTACATAAACCAACCGTGTCAAATTGAATCAGAATTCATATGTGTGCTGTAAAGGAACTCCGGCTTGTACTGCAATGCTAAAAGGGTGGTAAAATTTGTGTTTTGGAGCTGTGTTTCGACACATTCTTTTGCAAATTTTCTCGGCGCTTCGCGCCGCCGATTTATACACCAATCAATAAGAGAGAAATAACAGTGACTGTAATAACACCAACCGTGTCAAATTGAATCGGAATTCATATGTGTACTGTGAAGGAACTCCGGCTTGTACTAGCATGCTAAAAAGGTTGTAATATTTGTGTTTTAGAGCTGTGTTTTGACAACTTTTTTTTGCAAATTTTTGCGGCGCTTCGCGCCGCCGATTCATACACAGGTCAATAAGAGAGATCGTGACTGTATGCTACTATTTACTAATGCATTAGGCTAAAAGTGAGGTAACTATATCTACTTCTGGGTTTTTAAGTCGGTCGACCCGCCTCCCCCCCCCCCCCAGTAAAAAATCCGTGGCGACGCTCCTATATAGGTGGGTTTCACTAACTAAAACTACTGAGCCGAGTGACTTACGATAAAACTTCATCTTATAAACGACGAAGATCAAATGTCATTTTTTGATCTCGACATACTCGCTCCCTACCCCCCCCCCCCGGTCGTCAGAATTCATTCACCAGACCTGGTATGTCGGCCGACTGGTGACCCCCCCCAAAACGACCCCCTAGATCCGCCCTTGCATCCAGTTAGCATATCCAAGGAGCAAAGCACTGATCGGGGGTGATACGTACCCGAAATTAGCGTTAGAATGTTTATGGTCCTAACAAATCGACAATGGGTACAGCATGATAAGATCAAAAGGTAAGCTACAAGCCGGTATAAGGGAACATAACATAAACATTTCCCCGACCGTCGAGCAGCAATTAAAATGTGAGCCTTAAAATAAGCATGCCTCTCATTTGTTTGGGCCACGAATTATGTAACTCATAACTACTTCTGGGGCCCTAACAACCTCCTCAGAGCATGAGTTGCTGTTTGATAACCGCGCGGTCAGAAATTGGTGCAAGTAGAGTAGCGGGGCGACCATTAACTCCCAACATTTGCTATAACATTTATAAACAAAAAAGGCGAGCTGTCCTCATAAAGAATGATGATGGAATCTTTCGTATGAAGTAAAAAGTTGGTGAATGCTTCACTGCTTAGGTCCTCCAAATTATAATGGGAGGTTCTTCAACTGTCAACACGACCCAACTCTACCCAAATTCAAAAGCCTTTTCTTCTGAAGAGTTAGACTGTCAGGTAAGACAAGCGAGACTGGAGCAAATAAATCTCGTTCGATAGAACTCAACCAAATAACACACCACACTGCACAAGAACGCGGCTGAGCACATCACCCAGCCTACACGCC